TAATAAGTTGCGGTTGTTTTCCGTTGCAGTTCCGCCCTGTTTCCTTGGTCTTTTTTTATCTACTACCGCTTTCCTTAGACCTTTTATGATTCGATATTTGATGGAACTGTGTGTCATCACATTCGGTAGTTGCTGATATAGGTCTCCTTGCATCAATGAAATATGCTAATCGTAACGAGATCCAGTATTCACTGGGGTGTGCAGACCAAACAGGAGCTTTCAGTCGTCATCAAAATTCTTATTACCTACGTTGTGCTCGTCGGATTTTGGAATTTCTTCGGCCAAATCAACCGGACATTGTTCAGCTACAGAGGCTGCAGCTGGTGAGCTGAATAACCTTGCACTGAAGGGTATGTTTCCGAGGGAAAACCGTCAGTGTGAACTTTCATGCCTCAACAAAGGACAACAATCTCTCATTGTTACATGATCCACTTGAGTCCAGAACTGGTTAGCAGTTGGTTTGCACTTGCAGGAAACATGAGGTGAGCGCTTGAGCGAAGAGTTCGTACCGGCAAGAAACAATTAGTGGTGTATAACTAGAGACGTCGCTCTGCACCGATTCAAAAGTTAGTGTCTGCTGTATCTGCTGCTGACGCGCTCCAGTGCCCTAGTGTCGGAAAAAGCCTTGCCAACAAGGAACACAACAGTTTTACTGCGAACAAGCTAGTGTAAAAGTCACAAGGGGTCTCGTGCTATTTAAAGGGCACTTTGACATCGATCCATCGGCACACATCATCTACCGTGCTTGGGGGCGAAATAGCCCCTGGTAAGAGCGCGAATTCAGGAAGTGTGTGTTTCGAACCCAACCTCTCTCTGGACTTCCCGTGTATAGGCCTGGGCAATCTGAAGTAAGCCCCCATGCTTACTTTGGGTGCATGGCGGCCAGGCACTGAAAGGGTGTTACAGCTGAATGACTACGACTACTACTATTTACCGTGCTTCTGTGAAATGCCTGAATACTTATCATAGTCACCCGTGCTTCTGTGGCGCCGCTGAACACTCATGAGCCTTTGGGAATTGGTTAATTAATTGACTAGCCTGGATGTTTGCCGACTTCCCTATTGGGGTTTTGCTGTATTTTAGGGTCTCAATAGGTTTCGGGTATGAAGGAGATTACGAAACGTTTGGGTGCTGTCAGTGCTACTCGCCTTCCAGGATGAAGACCGCGTGATCCCTACTGCGCCTGCTTGGAGACGCTGCAAGATGTGGCTGCCAACCGATGTTAGTGGCGTTCTTGTGATCAGTTTCTATCCAGGTTGCCTGAATGAGTGTCTGGAGGTGTGTGCACCTCGGAATGATTGTGGCAAGCTAGCACTAATTCCCTTCACCGTCCACACTTATTGTTTTCTTCACAAGGCCTTCAAATAAATCGTGGTTGTACGGCAGTGAAGCATCGGTGTCCAACACTGACGTCGTGCTGTCGATGCTGCTGCTGATGATGATGATGATGATCATGATGGTGAAACTTTCCCACAACCCCCAGTGATTCTCTGTGAAGCGTAAAGGTTATGTTCAGGGGTTGCATATTCTGAAGCATGAATTTTATCAATGACGAACTTGAACAAGAATGAAGAGAGTAGACAACCTTGTCGAACACCACCTTCTAGGGGGGGGGGAGGGTGTAGCCACTTCAAAATGCTTGATACAGGCCAGAACTAGTCCCGTCGCTCCCTCAATTTTCTCTCCACTCTAGGGACTTGAATATAATTAGACGAACTTTATGGCAGTGAAGCATCAGTGTCAGCACTGAGATTGTTGTCTCTGATGATGATGTCCTTGTCAAGTGTTAACTGGTTAAATGTGCATAGACTGCTAACAGTCTTGATGTTTCTTGACTTCAAGAGCGTGTTCAATTTTCTCGATCAATTCTTCTCAGTATGCTTTAGGGTGTACTCGAAATTCCGTGAATGTCTTGCGCTCTTTGCATCAACAGAATTTTGAGCTTGTGGTTGCATGAAGATTTTTCTCGAGGTTTTGAACAATAATATTGTGCCTTCAACCATGATGATCCTTTGGCCTCACATCCACGAACTGTACATACAGAACGTGCAGTTTACGAAAGAGACACTGGAGTTTCTGTAACTGAACTTTTCAGAATTTGCTTCGGGCGTGATGGTAGTGACCGGTCAATTTAAGGACAACACTGAGTCTGGCAGTTCATTAGCATTAAATCTAAGGCGTCGTCTATATGAAGCCACAGTTTGAGCTGTTTTGTTGTCCCTTCATGGTCTTAGCGCTCTCTGGCAGATTCCGCTTGTTCTGAAACTTCCATTTCTGTTACCCTTAATTTTCTGCAATCACACGGACTACTTAGCCTATGTGCCTTCTTCGAAAATTCGAACATCTGTTTCGGTTAATTCACTTCTCAGCTCTCTGCTGCGCTGATTCAGATGGATGTGGAAACAGAATGTGCGACTACAGCTCAAGATCCCCAAGTGGAATCTGGGAGTTCCGATGGATTAGAGGATAGCCTTGTTCATCCGAAGTTATCTCCATCGGAGGAGTGTTTCCATTCCCCATCGGTTTCCTCCGACGAGTATCCTGATGCAGGAAACGAAAGCCAGTTTGAAGCAAAAAGTGAAGGCCGCTCCGATCAAGATGCTTCGCAATTTAATGGTGAAACGTTACTGGATGCTGATTCTGAAGAGGCTGAAGATCGGAAGGTTGGGCGCTGGACACATTGCAAGGCAGGTCCTTGCTCCAATATGCATATATTCCACTCATCTCTAGGGTGCCGCTCGGAAACAATCCCGAACGTCGACCAAATCTCGCACTGTAGATGGTTTTGCGTTATCAGTGCACGAGTCGAACAAACTAGACATTTACAGAGAATCACAAAGGCTCATGCGTGGTAAGCGGTTTCTCTTTCTGTTCTCAATTATTTCGTTTTAGAGACTGACATCCATCTTTTGGAACATAAACCAAAACAGTTCAAGCGTTTTAGCGAGTTTCGTCAGTCGTTGACCAAGGCTTCTGGGTTGGTCTGGCTTGTCATTTTTTCACACAGGCATCTTTTTACCCAATTTCGCTACTCCGTTCAGTGATTCCCTGTTGTGTTGGTCTTACCCTGGTCTCTTTTCAGCGCCTCTGAACCATCTATACCCCGAAATTCTGAGTTGGTCGTGGAACAGGATGCACACAAAGGCTCCAACGTCGGCTCTACGTTAGAGTCGAGCAGAACAACGGCTTCGGACTCTGCACCAGAATCCCAAGTAATCGAGAGGGTACAGCCGATCGCGTCAACAGAAGTAGAACCTGTTTCAGACTTACAACGCACCAGTCTGTTGAAACAACTTCCATCTGTACTACCACCAGTGAAGAGGCTTGGTGAAGGAGAGCATGATGTAATTGATCTGGGTTAGTAATGTGCTGGAATATTGATAGCGCGGGTGCACCAATTGTTAATTGATCAGGTGGTTGTTGATCTGTTCGCGGACAGAATGAAACATCCTTACAGTGCTTTTAAGCTTTAATTCATAGACGAACTTCATATTGCTAAAATTGTTTTAATGTTCATTGTCACTAGCTGTAGAGCCATCTTGCCAAAACTAAGCTCACGACTATTGATTTGAGGGTGTGAGATTGATAAAAGTCGTTCAGCTGTAGCACCTTTCCGGCGCCTAACTGCCATGCCACCCGAAGGAAGCATGAGGGCTTGGGTACTGCCACGTTGCTCAAGCCTAGACAGGGGAAGTCGAGAGGCAGAGGTCGTTTTTGAACCACGGACCTTCCGGTCAGTAAATTTGCACTCTAACCACTTTGACTTAAACCACTTGATGAGCATTGGACAGCTCCAGTGCACATCAATGACAGCGTTCATGGAGAGACAAGACACAAAGTGACCATACTTGATCATGGGATTCTGCAATCCCCTAGTGATTTTACTGATCGGAATGGGCCGTACTTAACAATCTGGTAAACGGTATCTGCTGGCAAATTACTATCTTGATGCATCTCACTGCCATGGCCATAGATGACTGGAATAGGATAAATGCTAATATTCAAATCATGTTCGATTTTCTGACATAATTTTTCTGATCAAGCCGGATAAAGAAGTTTTCTGTTGTCCAGATTTTTGTTGCCCGGGTCATGTAATTGTCTGTTTGTCGGTGGTGTATGCCGACCCTGGTTGCAGGCGTTTCGTCACCAATCGATGATACCATTCGTACGTAATAGAGGGGCGATGCGTAGTGGTTTAGCTGCGCGACCCACCGTTAATTTATTACACACCGATGATATCATATCGGTAGGCGTAAAAACTTTTAGAGCCACATGACCGTAATCAGCGAGTAGACTAACAGTCAGACGGGAAGCCGATCGATAGGTGTAGTAGCTAGTGCATGTCTTGATACCCCAAATGAGGTGACCATGTAGCCAATGCCCAGACTGGTAAGGCTCAGAATAGTAGTACAATGTACACCTGAGCGGTGATACAGATTCTCATGGCTCTCACCAACTCGGCTTCCTGTCTGATTTTAGCCATCACAACTAGATACACTAACATCAAGTTGGGTGTCGTGAATGAAAGACAACCTCATTCTCACCATCCCCTTATCCGAAGGTTCGTTTATTCGCACGGTGCAGAACTTATGAAGTCCGTTCCTGACCACTTGAATTTGTTCACCCTATTTCTCTCTCGTTTCCACCGGTTGGTTTACCGCAGGTTAGACGTTTTCATGGTTGTGCGATAACTAGGCCTCGATTCCCGTTCATCCGTTCAGATTTACCTTGAAAACATGGTGATTTTATCAAACTTCATTTCGTTCATATATCTCTGCGACGGTAGCCAATGTAACTGTGTTGCACCCCAATGGGAGAACGGTGCTCTAAACCTTCCGAGGGTCAAGTGCCGTATTGCTAGTTTTTTATTATCCGTCTGTTGGCAGTTTTACACCCTGTCGCGAACCTTATCTCTATAGTTAGACTAGGTTGCTCCACCACATAATATTAGCACTTTTCTGTACGTAATTTTTACTTTGTTATTTGTTTATCCACAAAAGGTGAGTCACTTCTCCCGATCTCTAAACCCGTGGTCACTCCAGCCGATTATTTGATGGCGCGTCTCCTGAAACATACTCGCCCTCCACCCCGGAGAAAAGAACGTGGTCCAGTCGAGTATGAAGTAATTACGAAGGTGGGCGGACAGTTCCATTTCTCACCTGTTTAAGTATGCGCTCACTGAAATAACTGTATTGCCCTCACAACTTTCTGTTCATTAGCTTGCCTCGTGTAATGCAACAGCATTTTCAGATTGTCGTACCGTTCCACTTAACTTTACAGACATTTCAAATCACACACGGTCTGCTTTACTCGTGGCAATTCCAGTTAGCTTTAAAACTATACACAGATCCGAAGTCAAACGCTGCACTCACATGGAGGGTGATAGATGAAGCAGAAAGAAAACGGGAGCCACGAGACCGACTCTGAACTCCATCGTACTGGAGAGATTTCCGAACCATGTCGCAGTAAATAGGGATACAGTGGAAAGCATTGACAGATAACTAGGGTAGTGATCAGCAGAACATCTCAACAAACCGATGAACAGAATAAGCCTGTGATGGTCGTACAACAGGGGCTGTTATCAGGTGCAACTTACTTTGCGTCAACAAAAGACGATGTTTTGATTTTATTTCTCAGTGGTCTCAATTCCTCTGAAATAGGCTGATCCACAATGTCCTCCAAGACTTCTCTCCTCAGAATATCGAGTAACACGGTTCGGATAATTGACTAACGACTGAATCCAGGTCCGAACAACAAGAAGCTTGGCAAGCGGTAGGTGGCTCTGTTTTGGTGATTCTTTAAATTAAGCTGTAGTAGACAAAGAACGATCCACTTTAATGATCATGCGACTGAATCACTCAGGTGAATAGTTCAAACGAGCATGTGCCCCTAATTTTTGTAACTGGGTCCACCAACAAAATGTTTTGCTAGTACTCGACCCGGCCATATTAGGTTCGTGCTGTGTAGCATGCAATGATTGGCATAACCTTTTAGAAGAAGACCGTATGCAGCTCGGAAACACGCTTCATATGGTCATTTGGGTATTCGCGGTTTATGAGTATCCTGTGTGATTTGCCGCAAGGACTGCGTTCTCAAATTATCTCGTACATTCCCAAAATACCACGCGATGCGTCACAAGTGTGACAGATGGTGGAAGAAGCCAATTCATGACGAAGGACGCTGGAGTGCAGAAATCCTGTTCGTTGTGGCTGTGGACATAGTCCTTAGGCCTCTAAATCACTACCGGAATCCCTTTTCACTAAATGATATTTACCCAACTTTGAAATTCCACTGGTTTTTAATGGTGTCCTAGGCAGAATTTCGGCTGTTATCCAGTATTCGTCCACGTTACTTAGTGATATGCTGTTTCATGCTGTGGTCAAGATGTTCGCAAGTACGATAGTCTACGTTTGCTGGATTAGTCGTAATCCGCCTCACGGCCTTCTTCATGCATCTGTGGACATTTGCGTCTTCGGAAATGAAGTTAATCATTCAATAGGTAGGTCATGCGCCTCATATAGAAATACTTAAAATGTATTATGGTGCTATTATTAATGGTTTTATTTGCATGGGACCGGAGGAAAACAGCAATGTTTCGTCAGTCTTTTGACACAAACGTGTGTAAAAAGTTCAATCAATCAGTCAATTTATCAGTTATAAACCGTGTATCATAGGCACAACGGTTCCAGTTGCTACAGTTTCGATCACCGGGAAATGGGAGAGTGTGGAAAATACAGCCAAGCCCTGGATGTGATGTATTTCGTTAGTTCGAGAACTAAATAGATACGCATTGGAGGCGATAGCTTGGATGCCAGATCCCCACTGACTGTGCGATCGGGCCATTTCTGTCAGTGTCATTGGTGAGTTGAGTCCCGGGGTCCCCATCTAGGTAGACGTCAGTTGTCGACCCGATTAAATTTACTGGTTAGTGTTTTAATACTTCGTTGCCAGGTCATACACTGTCCACTTCTCGGTCGCTTCCACTCAGTGCAGGGCTGCGCGAAAAGAGCTGTGCTAGCTCTTCTAGCATTCGGAGTACATGTCCTAACTAGTTCAACCTATGAAACATGAGCAATCCATCTATCGCGAGAGAGTTCCTTGTAGTCAGGACCATCTGGCTTATCTTAGCGTTACTAATCCGATGTTCACACTAGACCCGATCAATGCTCCGGAGACACTGATGGTCAAACACTGACATCTTCTGCATGTCCTATGCGCGTAGAGGCCACGCCTCCTGTCCACCAAGCAATATGGATGGCATGGCCGCTGTGTAAATTCCACCCTTGACAGACAAACTCACGTCACATCGGCGCCATAGGTGTCGGATTTTGGCAAAAACCACCCTGGATTTCCCGATTTGAGAAATAAGCTGATGTCCAGCCCGTTTACCGAAACTTGTGCAGCTGTCTAGTTATGGGTGAACGACCTTCTGGTGATATCGAAATGACTCGTCGAAGGTGTTCGTTCGTCGGAGGTTGGGGTCACTAGTGAGCATTTCGTGCTCCCGTTATCGACTTGATGGGAATTCACCCGTGTCCAAATGTCGACAGCCGCTTTTATACGTATGTGATTTTATAATCCGCAGCAGCAAATGTGAAATACCAGTGAAATCTGGTTAACCTGCATAATTGCCACCAATTTTTCTCATCCAAATCACTTCTATGCCAAATGTTTATAATCGAGATGGTCCTTAATGGGGGACAAAAGTAGTTATGCATGGCATCATTCCATTTTCCAAACTCAATTGTGATTTGTTCCTCCAGGCGATCTGCTGCACGCATTCAACGCTAAGTTTTTGATTTATTCGAGAAAAAAGTTGCTTATGTGAAGCAAAATGATCTCGCCAGTACATAAAATATATTAGCCATTTAACGTGAAAGTTAACTTATAAATGTGAATGAACCCGGAATTGCTATGGGAGCAAACCAGCATTCAAGGAATTAGGACGTGTTTTTTTATCGTTTCTACGGGTTTCACTGGTTTCCTCTGGAGGCAATTACATCGAAAAAATCGGGGCCACCAAATCAGCCTACGCGGTGAGGATGTTTTTACTTGTGCGAGGAAAGATACTGCGCATTCAAATCGGTTGAGGATGAACAAGTTGACGAATACAACAGGAACTATTGGAAGTCTGCTTCATGCATACATTTTTGGCAGGTATGACATAAATCTGGATAGCGTGCAAGTCACTGACAAGCGATATGCACTGTGATTCGATTGTACACAGAAAGTAAGACGACAACCCCTCCAGTATCAAGTCACGACATTCTCGCTTCTTTCCCTCGATAATCAGCTGTGTCTGCTATATGTTACAAGTCTCTAGATTACTGGTGTCTCTCACCCATATATCCGCCGGGAACTTTCTAGTTTATTTTTGAGCTCGTCGAGATGGCTAACCTCAGTTGAAAATGAAACTCAAGTCGTCGCAGCGGTGTCAATTGCGGGTTATGAACACTAAACCAATGCAGTCTAATCGAACGCGAAGTCTTTCTACATCATCCTCATACCCTGTGGTACACATACAGAGCAGGCACCGAATGAAACGCCACACGAAACCATTGCGGTCAATGGCCGAGCACTTAGGTTTCGAATAGGAGAACTTGTCTGGCTGCTGGAACCAGAAAAGTGATACCACCTGCATGGTTCTCAATATGTTGTCAGCCGTAGGCTTTAGATGGTTGCACAAATAAGAACGAGGCACCTACTCCCGCCCGTATTGTCAAGGAATTCCTTAAGATCATACTTTGGGAAAACCGCTATTACATCACTCCGTATTTTGCTTGCGTCATTTCCCTATAAAAACGATGCTAACGAAAGATGCAAACTCCCGACCTTGTCTAAATGGATGAACAATAGCCGATAGCCAATCCTCAACCATACCAATTTATCATACCAATTTATCATCTGCGCAGGAATCTGTGTCTACTGTCACTTTATTCTCCTGGAACCCGGTTGACGTCCGTCACGATGTAAAATAACGTACTTGGATTACATCTGGTTGTAATGATGTTGTACGTGTTTAATCAGTTCCTTAGTTTCCATCTGTTTGCACCCTTGCTTTTCTCCGAAGGCGGTCGACCCCGAAACTGGTACCGATCAGCTTCATGTGGAAAAGGTTACACACATTTCTCAGGAGCAACCGGACATTATACCAGTGAGTCAGCGACGAAAGTATTGGAAGCAACATCGTGAGAAACTGCGGGAGCAGATGCGCCAACGAAGACTCCAGTTGTACGAAGAACGTATGCAGGAAGCTAGAGCCATGGCTGGCAAAAACATGCTGACCACTGCAAACGAAGAAGTAAGTATGCAAAGTATGTAAGTTAGGTGATCTCACTATTCAGATGGAACACCGTTTTCAGTGTTTACTTTGCATTCCACAGTCAACGTTTCTTTTCACCGAATTCTGTACCATTTTTAACAATACACTATCGTTGATGTTGAAACACCCACTCTTGAGGCATTACCACTGAACCTTACCCATCTGACCTGTATCTTTCCCCGTAACGTGGTCACAATTTCAGCGTCTGTGACCGACTCTCGTTTTCGGTGTGTTTGGGTGATACTGGCATTCCGGCTTTCCCGAAGGAAGTAGCAGTACTGTGTTTTCCGACTCAATATAAATCGATTACTTTTTTCGGTCATGCGAATCTCTCTACGTTGGGAATCTTTCCAGTGCAGGTGGTCGTTCCACATAGACTTTTTAGCGGGCCGGTTGCATCTCTAGTTGTTCATACACACAACCTACAGTACCACTTCTTTGTCAACTGTGGCTCGTTCTAACACTACTACTATCCCTAGACTACATTGTTTTTCATTTCGATCTCCAGAAACTTTCTGATGACGATGAGGAATGGGTGGAAAGCGAGGACGCGGAAAGCTCGTCGGCTTCAACCTTATCTTCGTCTTCTAGTGAGGCCACCGATGTAGATGATGATGAAGACGAAGCTGATGAGGACGCTGAAGATGAAGACAGCATTGTTGGTCCGTCGAGTCGCCGCCATCCTTGTGTTTTTGCTGACGATGAAGCGGAAGAAAGCGAGGATGGTGCTGACGGACATGAATCATATTCAGAATCGGATAATACGGCTGATGAAGACTTTTCGAAAGAACCACATTCCAAACGTCCTGCTGATAGTCTTACGAAACGTCCAACCAGCCCTAATGTTAGTACTTATCCTGATTTCGCAAAAATAGACTGCTGCCTATCTCTTGAGCTTTCATTCAGCCATGTTAGTAGATCCAAGATAAATGCTTTACGTAACAAATAAGTATTGGCTAGTGATTTCAACACTAACTGCTCAGAATCTTGCTTTTCACCGTTTCTCTCTAAACTTCAGCGTTCGAACACATCTCGCTTTGAGAAATTTCTGGCGTTGGACGATTACACAGACTTGCCAGCTGAAGAAATTGCGCCTTCTTTTGATTCGTGTATGTTTTGGTCTTCGAAGCTCAACTTGGTTTAGTTATACCTATGTAGTTTCTCATTAGAATGTGGAGCCCATTATTGTCCGTGTATAGTAGTTTTCCTTCCCGTCTCGACTGACCCCGTGCTTCTGTCGTTCACCTTTTTCAGCCCATCGATTCTACGTGGACAGTGCTCTCCGTAATCAAGGTAGTCTTGGACCGGGGGATGTCGATTTGTTTACATCTGAATACTCAACCATCCTAGATCGTAAGTCGCTGCTCATATCGCTTTTTGACTGTTTCTCTGTCGTTTTACTGTTTATTACGTTAGTTTCGTCGAGTTCAAGAGACCGCCGACATAATCACCGTATGGTAGTGTGGCTTGACAGCCAAACAAAATAACTATTCATACTTATCGCTACGAACAACTAGGTAAGGCGCCACAGAATTCGGTAAAAAAAACTTAGAAGAATAATAATAGTGTATTTCGGGATAATGGAGTGCTAGTCGACGAAGGTTTCGCGAGTTTACACCCATAAGTTATTCAGACAGAACATAACCCCAAATTAAAGGATGGAAAGCCTGTATTTATAGTGGCACTGCTCAGATTTTCCAAATATTCCAAGTGGCGGATTGCGGAAGCTAGTTCCTGTCATCATCAGTCATAATCTTTGAACATCAACATCTTAGTTGCCGGGGCTTTCACTTCGTGGAAGGGAGGAGATACATTGGGAAAAACTCTTCGTCCATGGGGATGACGATCAAAACCATCACAACCGTTTTGTAGGCACGGCCTCAGTGAATTCCGTTTGTGAAACCAAGCCTAACTCAAGTTAGCAACAGTTACTCGCACCCTGATTATGCGTGAGTTGACCTAATCTATCACGTCACAGTCGCGCATTGTACAGCCTCCCAGATCGGTAAACCTCTCCATGATTTTGTGCTTCTTATTCTGCAGTCTCAGGTAAACACAAGAAAGTGGAAAATTTTATGGTTATATAGTAGATTTTGGATGTACGAAGAGCATGCTGATATTTCTTCGGACTCATGGTCATGGAATTACAGGACAGTGTTGTTCTCGTAGTCCCAGTCCTTTGATCTTCTCGAATCCCCAATTCAGAATGGCGCAAGCACGGAGGTGGCCAACCTTCGATCTGGCACAGGGTATGGCAGAAATTATCAAAAGTATGGCTACGGTCATGGCAACTCGCCTCCCGAAATGGGGTGTGCGTGATCCTCCCTGTGCATAGTTGGGGACGTTGCAAGATAAGGGTGCTGACTGACTTCATGGTGTTTCTATCTGGAGTGTCTGGAGGTGTGGGCACCCGAGAGCGATTCTGGTGGGTTAGCACTGAACCACCTCCCCATCCACTTTTATTCTCTTTTTCACCGTTAGGCCCTCAAATAAATTAGGGTTTGGCGGCGAAGCATCATTGTTGAATTTTGATGTGCTTTTGATGATGGTAATGATGAATTTCTCCAAGTGATTTCTACACAGATTTAGAGACTGAATTCCAATGGAAAAAAAATTGAAAAAACAAGCACGTGCGAGAGATTTTGCGAATTCCACCAATTGTGGTGAAACCTCTTGGCAGCTTTCTGTGAATCCTCACGCGACTAAAAGTACGGAAAAAATGGCACGAAGTTCATTCACAAACTTCAGGGGCATTCCACGTTGACCAGGTTTATGTAAGAGAAGCGACTGAGTTGAAGGAAAGAGAAAGTAAACATAGATAAGCTTAGTGCATTGCCAACTTATTGCTAACGATAGGACAGTAACAAAACCAGAGTACTATTCGGCATTCACACAGTAACGGATAGGGACCCCAGTTCGAGGTGAGAGATTTCGACATTACAACCGAAACCCTTTTTTATAGGCGATAGGGCACGTGAAGTATCGTTTGAGCCCTACCTGATGGCTACCGTAGTATTTATGCAACCTGCACCTAATACGGAACAAAGTCCTAAGTAATGAAGCCTTATGATCGAAGGATTCATCTTCTGAGTGCACGAGGCTCTTGGCTTAAAGTAATTCATATGGATTTTCACTAGATGCTGCCTAACGGAAGTGTATGTGGCTTGTTTAAGAGACTTAGTGAGCGCAACTGTAGTCCGGTACCATTTTCAGAATGACTGGCATTCACCAGACTACTACGAATTATTAAAGATAGAAAACACACTCAGTGTGAAAGACCGCTTTAGAGTGTTGAAAATGAACTGTAAAGTTTGTCGAGACTTCGTATACAAGCCGCATGACAACAACACCAACGTATAGCTTTGATATATACTGCAGCCAGCGTGATTTGCATTCGTCGCCCGAAAATTCTGTAAGCATGCTCTATCGGACTAATTGTGGTGTATTTGATACGGGGTTAGTATCCGCACGCTGCATTCTGTCAGCTGAAATTCCTGCAGAGGTTATTCGGATTAATGTTTTTTCTGTTGAAAATGAGGTCGCCCCTCATGGTACCATCTTCTGGCTTTTACAGGAAAAACGTTTTCTTTCAATTCCACAGGGACCACTCACATACCGTCGATGCTTGCTTCTACGCGATTGGAGAAATCGACCATCCACGTAAGTATACATAATATCCAGGGCTTATACGTTGCCAACATCTACGCTATCATGGGCAGTGTGAGGGTATTTGGGGGGGGGCAATGGTATTTCGTTCTGTTAATGTAGCCCGCCTATGAAGAAAAGCTCACAAGCACTTCTGATTCAAAAAGCAGTACTGAATGCACCACTGTGACGTATTTTCTGTTCTTTGTAGATGAACTGGCGTCACACTGACGCCATAAATGTCGGAGGTCGGCAAAGGCTTCTCTGGCTTTCCTAATTCGACAGGCTTATCTAGTCTATTCGATCCTATACATCAGACCAGGAGAATAAATTTATTCACCATGTCGATTGGTTAGTCTGACGTTTGCGTTTGCTCCTGCCACCCTGTCTTTTGGTAGCACGTCACACTTCGCAGGCGTGAAACGTATACCAATCGATGCGGCAGGATTATTTGGGTTATCTAAAATAACTTGACTCCCTTAGGTATCTTAATCAAGGAGAGCACTGTTGTTGGCATACGCAATGTCTGTGAGTGAACGCCTCGGGACCTTTTCAATCCTCGAGATCTTTGACGTGGGCAAGGAAACCATAAGCAATATGCCGGTAAAACAGCTGAAAAGAAATGGTGATAGAGGACCGTTTTGTTGAATATCAGTGCACCTCCACAGTAGCTTGCGTACAATGTCCTCATAAGGAAAGCAAATTTAAGAGTGGAGCCTCTGATCTGCGGGCACAACCAAAGTTTTGACGATCGATGGAGTCACAAGCAGTCTAGAATAAGGAACGATGAAAGTGGGAAGTCTGAAAGAACGGCTGTGCTTCAGAACCTTTCTCATGATAGAGCTATGGTCTGTGCATCGTCGATCAGGGTGAAGCCCGCCTTGATTCTCTTGAGTTCGACCCCTCCCTCCGTTGCACTGTGTGCACTGAAGGGCTTTCCACACAATCTCGCCAAAACTTTGGACTTCCTTTGATCAACCACTTATCCATCTTTTTAGGAAAATTCCGCTTTTCGCTCATCGCATAAATTTCACTTCTTAATATTCTCACTTCAGGATCCTCAAGGAGTGACGTCGTCTAGAACGTCGCGGGAGTCCTCGGTCCACAGTCAATGGAACGACACACCGTATGAATTGCTATACTCTCAGAGAGCACCGAGTCAAAAGTGTAGGTTAATTGGTCGTTTACTACTAAATGCACAACACATGGTGCTTCATAAATTTGCTTTCATGGTACCTCATTCATTTTGCTCATCAATAATGTGAAGTCCCAAGATCATGCATACAAAATTTAACCTAAATGGTATTTGGCAGTGTCAAATGATTCGGCGAGGGAGCGAAACATTTATTTCGTCCCAAGGGCCATTCATGAAATACTGTGGGACCTCTAGTAGTAGGGAAAATAGTCAAACTTTGCATGACCTCAACTTTCGGAACGAATGCTCCAAACCTGAAATAAACTGTTATTCAGAACGGCTTGAGATAGCTCGGTGGTTAAGGCGCGAACTTGTTGATAGGACGCTTCGTGGTTCGACACAGATCATGGCCTTTCAGTTGTTTATGTCTAGGCTTGTGCAACCCAGCAATACCTTGACCTAGGTGCTTTCAGCGAGTTGCACGGCATCTGTCCTCCAGAAAAGTGCGACAACAGAATGACAAAACAATGTGTGTATTATAGCGGTAATCCCTAATGGAGTATGCTTATTGGCCTTGCGTAAGACTTCATTATCTTCGAGAAAGCTGCTGCCATACCTTATAAAATACCCTGTTTGGGAAATACAACAAAAACCCGTTTTGTTAACCCTTTGCCCCCTATTTGAGACTATCTTCTGAAGCTGTAGTCTTCACTTTTCCATGGTCTTAACGTAAGTCATTTCTTATACATACATGGTAGGTTTGGATGCCGCATCCTTTTACAATTTTCTCCCAGCATCTTGCGTCAGGTCTTCTGCATTTTTTCGCATCTTACACAATGCGAAACAATGCATGTTTCTTCGTTGCAAGCTCGCCGATGGGAACCGTACCGCATGCCTTTTGCGCCAGGAGGATAAGGTTTCGTATGTGTCCCGGCCTCCTAAGTAGGTTTCAGAAGGGTGAAATGGGAATTTCCACTTTGCTTGAAGTAAACGGTTCATAGGTTCATGGTTCAATACCCTGAGGCCTATCCTGATGAGGCTAGCGCAACATGGCAAACCTGTATGATGTTTATCAGCCTGTCATCTAGGCCCCTTAAGAACCAATGTTTCCTCGCCAAACCTGAATGCGATCCTTGAGACGAGGAAGTTTGTCACGAAGATACTCTCACATACCAATGATGAAAATGGGAGTACAAAATATTTGGAACTCAATCATTGTTGATTTGCCATGCGCTATTTCATCAGGTCATTTAGCTTACTTGTTTTTAGTCGGTATTTCAGCTGGATTTGTTGCAGCGAATAATGCTTTGTTATTATTTGTGTCGGCAGTCTGACCAAGTCTGGTCACGAGGAATTCACTGACATGGTGGATTGGTGTATCGCCTGGCTCATGGTAATTTGTTTGGTGTGATAGTCCACCAAAAATTTGAGCGTACGACAGGAGAGCATCATCGTAGTGTTTTCTGTTGGATAGTAAATCAACCATTTGGGGAACTAGAATGTGGAATTTTTGGTTGCTTTGGGAGGGGGTCCTTTCGTTTCCCCGAATGGGTATGGCGTCTCTGATTGTCCCCTAGATAGACTTGCTTCTGATGTTTTCCTCGGACACGGGAACGATGTGCCAACACGTTGGTGAGAAATTTATTCATGGCCGCTGTCAATCGCTATGAGTATCTACATTTGGCTGCTCACACCAGAGATTATATTCGAACCAGCAGCATTAGCGAGTATAAGCTTTCAAGTTAACACGGCTTGCAGAAAACTGCAAGGACTGTTAAAACTTGCCTTTGTTGTGGGCACCAAAATTTTCGGTGTAGAAAGTCGCCAATGGTGTCACTTTTGCTTGACTTAGTTTTGCTTTTCACTATGACTTGATAAGTTTATCGGGATTAATTTCGATCACCTCATAATGGTGTTGCCGTGTTTTGTTTTCAGCCTCCTTTTCGGACAAACTGACTGCGTCTGTCTTGCAAGGGTCAACAAACAACCTAGATGGTAAGTTTTGATCATTGTTTCTTTCTGCAATTATATGCTGAGAGGTCGATTATCACTGTACAACTGTTAGTCTTCATCACTAATTTCCGTGAGGATTCAAACAGGCCGCCGGTAGCTCATAGGTTCGAACACTTGTATTAAAGTTAAGGTGACTGCGAATCGACGTCAGCTCGATATAAAAAAGGGTGTTTCGATGCTATCTCCAAAATGACTCTGAACCAAAAATAAATGCGTCTGCACGTCAGATTAAGCTGGTTCAAGGTGTCTACAGTCTCATTACACGCAACCCCACGAGTTTACTGTACGCACTTTTCGAGTCTCAATCTACGCAACCTTTGGGTTATCGGTGCATCAAATGGATGTATGCGAAATTCGCACCTATAGTTCGTGGTAGGTGACTGCACTGGTCAGCTTACCAGTCAGTAAACGTCGGTCATTGCCTAGCTAGACCAAACAAGTGGTGCATACTTAGTGGGCAGCCGCGAAACTTGTCCGTACATTTAGACCCTATTCCAGGTGTAAACAACCGAAACGGATAGTAAGGCAGACAGCGGGACAAGACTGGTTAGCGCTTTTCATACGTCTGATTTTTCATGGAGAACAACCCACAGTAGGCAAGGTAACAACTCGCAACGATAGCCGAACTGTGGAGTGAACAGTTACCTCTCTCAGTGAGCCCGACAAATCGGTCTCTGATCTGAATTCGTTCAGTTTGCCGGTTCTGTTTTTTTTGTATCCGACCGGGAGTATGAGTGGAACATTAATTATTTCTGACAAACTGATATGGGTTGTGAGACAATCTATGCCAATCTATGCGGACGCCACACCAACTGAACCCAGGATCTTAGTTTTCATGTATGACATGCATCTGTGGTTCGCCTGCGAGCGCAAACTCATTTCTCGCCTAGGTAGCGGTACGACGAGGATACACACTACGGATTGCCAAGTGTGAATAATGCGTAATATGTTTTTTTTCATTTTGTCGAAGTCCTTCGGATGAATATCATTTATGCAATGAATGTAATCATGATGGACCAGTTGTTGTATGCATTGTAGCAAACCTAGTCACCGTTACAATATCCAGCATGCGATCCCTTGCGTCCAACATCACTATTCGCAGAAGCTAGATTTTCACATTCACATTAAGTACGAGGCAGTGACAGCCAGATAAGGGACGAGTTGCAACTAAAACCTAGTGACATGTATTATGTTGTGGGAAAATTGACTGTAAGTCGGTAGTGAACTAGCAAAAAGGTGCAACTTTTAGTACATTCCTCATGTTGGATTCTCCAGATAAAATTCGTAAGACCTTTCAAATATCAAATCGAATATAAAATAGGATAGTAAAGTACCCCCATTTACCTCTAAAGATGAATATGACTATTGTTGAATAATCGATGACACATCCAAGTTTCTTCGTCTCTAGTTATAAAAAAGCATCTAACCGGCTTTTTCCAGTCATAATTACATCAGTTTTAAGAATTCTATTAGCATTCAGGTACACTCAGGTCCATCATTTGTAGATCGCTTGAAATAAATATCAGAAGATACCTACAAAACTTTGACATTTCTCAAAGCAGGTCCATCTACCAGATGTTGCACTTACCAAGTTAAATGTGATTGCGGTGAAGCCTTAGATTACTGGAACTGGTACAAGACTTGGAACGTAAACGAAATATCACTTACTTTTATACCTTCTTTTAATAATACACAACTGGGAGTCCTCTTCAGCTTTAACCGCAGCAAAAGTCACCTCGTTAGTCACTGAGACTAAACACTGCGTTGATTTTTGGCCAGCTTTCTAGGTCATTATGAGATGAAATCGAACAAAGTACTGGTGATATATCTGATAACTTCCTTACATACTTCACGAAGTGCAACGAGACAGCGTTGTGTACACCTTGCATCGTGGTCCTACTGAACAGGATAGGTTAGCCACTCCAGGCGCTTACAGTGCATTGTTTATATTCCCGTCTTGTCTCGTACGCCTTGTTGCTAAAATGCCCATTCTTTTACTGTGTTGTTTTTCATTTCGCTTTCCTTAACGTTAGGATGTCGTGAGTTCTGCAGGGAACTCACGCGACCTGCTCTGGTCGACCGGGCCAAGGCGTCGGTCCTCATATTATTTTTCACTGACTATTGTAGTCTCGTATCACGAGCTTCTTGTGCGAATTTCTCGTACATCCATTATACATATTGGTTACAAACCGTTTTCACAGATTGAAACTTGAAAACGGCGTACAGGGAACACGCAGGACTGCACTTACAGAGGCTTGGAACACTTTGAGTTAGCTTAATTTAGCATACAGATAAGTTTTTTTTGATCCTGAATAACTTTCAGCGTTGCATCGATACACTTTTATTTTATCATCGAACACATAACTGATGCGTTGCCGCCTTTTCTGACTTAGATTCATGTTAATCTGAAACTGTACTAGAAATGTCCAAATTTATTGCTGTCCAGACCCACCGGAAGTTCACGATCGCTGTGGCAATTGATGTCGTTCATTAGGTGCAAATGTTCGTATGGATTTTGTTTTGGTGGAACAAGAATTTCGGAGACCATCAGGATATCAGAACATCGGTCAACAAAGTCTAGAAATGATGTAATAATGGAGCTAACTACCCTGGATGCTTCGGCGTTTCTTCGGTACATTTGTTGTTTTGAGGGCCACAGACCTAACTACTGCCTTTGGGTTAGTAGCTAAAAAAATCACAATGTGTTCTTGCTTGCGAATCGCGTACAGCTCATGAAAACGGTAATAAAATTACCACACAGTTGTGAAAACTCATGGTGCAAAACATTTCTTCGAAACCTTATCCTAATTTATATTCCTCTGCATTTCCCCCCAGAATCCGCAAGAAACCCGGCCTCTCAGGATACCGTCATTTTATCTCAAGTGTCATGGAACGCCGAAGCTGAGCCGAGGACGCAAGAGTCATCTAATGTAGTCAACAGTACACAAGGTACGCGATACCTGGTGAATGCAAGTAAATTTATCCCCTGTAGTGTGACAGATGAGGTGAATGCACGAATCTGCAAGGCTCGGGCCACGTTTGCTAACTTGAGACACCTATGGCGTCAGAATGGTTTTTCCTGAATCTGAGGGGACCTGTGTACCAAGCTACAGTACGGGCTGTTTTGTTGTATGGTTGTGAGGCTTGGCCTATTCGAGCAACGGACCTGAGACGTCTTCAGGTGTTCGACAATCGTTGTCTCAGAACCATAGCTCGTGTGAGTTGGTGTCGGCGAATCCGTAATCAGGCAGTTAGAAAGCGTGTTTTCGGTTGTGTAACGGGTACTTCCATAGAAGAATGTGTCCAGCACCAGAAGCTGCGTTGGTTGGGACATGTGTTACGTATGCCGAACCATCGTTTGCCGAAGAGAGTACTGTTTTCCATGCCCAATTCGCAGTGGCGTAAACAGAGAGGTGACCAACCCTTGACTTGGCAGAGGAGTATGAAGAAGATCGCGAAACGCTTGGGTGCTGTCGGTGCTACTCACCTTCCAGGATGAGGACCGCGTGATCCTCACTGTGCCTGGTTGGGGACACTACAAGATATGGCTGCCAACCGATGTCAGTGGCGTTCTTGTTGTCAGTTTCTATCCAGATTGCCTGAGTGAATGTCTGGAGGTGTAAGCACCTCGGAATGATTGTGTTAAGCTAGCACTAAGTCCCTTCCCCGTCCATCTTTATTCTTTTCTTTACAATAAGGCTTTCAAATAAGTCATGGTTGTACGGCAGTGAAGCATCGGTGTTGAACACTGATGTCATGCTGTCGATGATGATGCTGATTCGACCGTACATTCCGTCCATGAGAACACCATCCCACAAGATAGATCGGTCGCCTAAGGTTGTCCGTCCAGACTGGGACAACTGTGCTCTCTCCCAATTTATTATTTTCAGGGTTTATCTAGGTTTCAATGAATAAAACGTAAATTTTAGACTAGTGTTTTTCTTCACTGGTAAATTCCAACATTCGTTCTATGTTTCTGTTGTTACGTGTAACTCGAATATATCAGAGTGACCACCATTGGCCATCATCAACACTCACCATTTTCTCCTTGTTATTTTCAAAAGGCACTGTCTGTGCTATTTCGTCTTGATTACCCTTACCTTAAGCAATATGGATGAATTCCATCGTGAGTTTTTTCTTTCCTTGTTCCCGGCCTATCCTTCATACTTTCAGATTCTCAGACTGAACATGCGAACCGACGTACTCTGTTCAGCGATCCGTCTCAACCATGGGTTGCGCCTGAACCGGTTTGCTTGCGGTCTTGTGAAGCTTCCCAAGGTATGAAGTCAATGCGCCGATCCTCTCACTGGTACCATCATTAGTTTGAAGTCTCGTGTTATTTCATCATAACTGGCTCCGCTCCCGTTCCTTCCAGCACTTGCTTAAGCAACATTGTCTATAGATGGGATTTAGGTTGCATTTGAAAAAGGGACCGTTTTGTTTACAATATTACAATACGATTTTGTTTCACCAGCATCGGAAGAAGCTTGCGCTGCACGCCATTTGGTCTTTTCCGAACCGGTCTCTTCAAATATAGAGGTTAATCCTGGACTACGTGACCTTCAACTCAGCACAAACAGTAGTCACGCTGAATCCGGTGGTGAATACGGTCTCCATTCCCCCATCATCCTTCAAGGATTGATATAATTCAGTGTCTTTTTGGTGACTGCCTTCCTAATTTCTCTTTTCTTCATTATCATGCTTACGTTCAATCTTCACCATTTCAGTTCAGTTGGTTGGGTCAAATAGACGTGTTGACTCTCCCTACCGCTAATTTTTGACGGCGGCCTGTGCCCCAAAGTTTAGTGCATATCTGGACGAGCGTCGCACACAGTCCCGTAAAGGTTTGAATCCTCATGGCTTGATAGACATTGCTAACCGTTTCGCACAAGCATGCTTTTTATCCACCATTTGGTTCGATGAAGAATTTTTCTGTTAATGATCCTTCAGAAATCCGGTAACTGCCGAAAATATTCCATTTTGTTTTACTAGAGTCCCAAAAGGACCATGCCGCTCGCCTCCAGCTTTTTGCAGGATCGTTCGAGTTGGAAAACCAGTCTTCTACGGAATCACTGGTTCGATCCTCGCTCCAGAATGGTTAGTGTATTTCTCGCTCGACGCATTTTTCCCAATTGGAGTACCTCAGTTAAAAGGAGAGGTATCGTTAGCCTGACGTTTTTGATGGTTAGTTTCACGTCGCTTGTCTTGGTGCTACACGCCTGGCGACCATTTCACGCTGAAAATGCCAATTGTATGGTTACTACACCCTTATGCACTCGGATTCTATGAGGCCCTTGAGTTTTTAGTTGATTGTCTTCACGATTTCGGTTGCATCTAGTATTTTTCCTGATGCTCCTTTGAACGAATTTGTTTAAATGTGGGTCTCCTAACGCTCCGTAAAAATATCGTCTTTTCACAACAAAATATTATTTACTCCTTAGTTTTTCCGGTGTCACACCCCTTGATAGAGCACGACTCCAACATAGGACGGACCTCTTACAATAATAGTTTAATCGCGAGCACGTCAGTGTTGTTGGAATAGTGGGAGCGACACAGACTATTGTAGGTTCTCAACGTTTGCTGTAGGCGGTGAACCAACGCGGGCGTCGTTCGTGGTGGCATGTAATCGATGCTTTGATCAGGGATCACGTGCCGTCGATTGCAGGGTATTAGATAATGATACAGCGTGCCAAAAAATCTTGACAGTGCGTCCAGATGATTCTTCGAATTAGGAAGTTATGGGCGTTCCATTTCTGTCTATCAATGCGGTAGTCTGGAATGTGAATGGGTCATTGCGCCTTGATTGAATATGGAGCACTGAGGTCTTTGGTCACAGGGTTAGATATCAGAATTGATGATACATGCGCGACTGAGTGGGGGTTAGCGGGCCATTGCTAGCGCAGCTAGTAAAGAGAAACAGCATAGCACCAGGAGCAAACCTGTTTTTTTTTCTCGGTGATATAAGTGTGCGCTATAACAGCTTATTATACTGTTCAGTGCGTAAAAAGGACAGTCCACAATTAGCGAATTCGTTGGTGATTTGTTTCTCGAAAAGGACACACTAGCGATTTGCGTGTCCAGTTTCACCAATAAGGAGAACAAACAGGAATATTGCCTATCAATTAACTGCTGGTCTGTGGGGCCAGGATCATCGGACCCAGAAATCGGTTTATCCTTATGGTTGCCAAACTAAGTGCGCTCGCAAATAAAAGCTAACAGGAAATATCGGTAGCCGAAACAGAAACACCTCAAGAGGGAACGCCGTGATTACTTTGATTTTTGCGTTTCTTATTGGAAACTAACCGTGTTGCTGGATATATTTGATCAAAAATATCGTCGGTTGTTGTGTTGACCGAAGTTAGCTATTTGATACGATAATAATTCTAATTTACTGTGCTAGTTTCCTAACTGAGTACCGGCATTGAAACACCGCTAACAAAGTTTCTGCTCTATCCGTTCAACTGAGAATATGAGTTCTTACTATTTACGGCATTTTTTGTGAGACCCACGAAATGCGATTAGGGAGACTTCAGATAACAAGGTGTAGACTACCTTGTTTTCCGTTTTCTCCGGAGTTTCTGCGGGAGCATCTGAGTCTATTTCGCTTAACATTTCTCTTTGTGATGTCTGACGTCTTCAAATCCAAATCGACTGTATGTTCACCAAATCGTCCTCGAGAATCATGCAGCGGGAATATTACTTCACTACTCCCAAGTAGTCAAATTTCCTGACAATGTTAAACGAACGGTTGAAACCCTGGAATCACCTCTAGTGGTAGCTAATTACGCTAACTTGCACATCAATTTGGTTTTGACGGAGACTCATTGGAACCCAAGTTTCTGCGGGAGCATCTGAGTCTATTTCGCTTAACATTTCTCTTTGTGATGTCTGACGTCTTCAAATCCAAATCGACTGTATGTTCACCAAATCGTCCTCGAGAATCATGCAGCGGGAATATTACTTCACTACTCCCAAGTAGTCAAATTTCCTGACAATGTTAAACGAACGGTTGAAACCCTGGAATCACCTCTAGTGGTAGCTAATTACGCTAACTTGCACATCAATTTGGTTTTGACGGAGACTCATCTGGAACCCAACTGAATCTCTCGTTTATGATATTTTAAGCGGCTGAATATGCTGCTCCAGGCCGCCCCAAGTTTCAGTTGGTACGACATTCGTGATTCCCAGATGCGTGTATAGACGTGGTACACAACTAATAAAGTTGTCGAAAACTCTCCCACAGTCGTCGATCGGTTTCGCCCTTCTTGGGGTTCATTGGGTAGGCGCACTTCGCGAGTTTCCGTCAACCATGCTCTACTTGCACTCAAATTGCACGAAATTAGCGAAGTGCACTCATTTGAATGCCAATTTGGTTTTGATTCACCCAGCTGCCTCTTGGTTCAAATGGAGCATACGTTTGACGGAAATCCGCGGACTGCACCTACCTAATTAGCCCCAAGAAGGGCGAAACCGGTTGTGGGCTGTCGAAATTTTTCAACAATTCCATGAGTAATATATCACTCCTATCTTTATTCGCTGTGAGCGCAGTTATATTAGCAGTCGCGTAGTGTTGCAGTAAGCAGTGAAGACGGTTAGCTAAATGGACAAGCAACCGACATTGTATAGCGGGTGTAGTATGTATCAGATCCTCCATATGGGTCGAGAAAGATTAAAATTCTACTTGAATGCTCGCAACTAGTCCGATTTCCCAAATAATTTCATCGTATTGCCTAAGAACTAAGTTCTTTCCGGGTACCATCACTTGTCATCGATTGGAGAACCTCGATCCACGTGTCTTACACGTGATGGTGTTGGATGCGGTCGTTGGTTTGTTCGCCGAGCTGGGCAATTTGATTGCAAACGTTTCATCACCAATCGAGGTGACATCAGTGCCTTATTTGGAAGCGTAATAATGCGTAGCGGTGGGTTAGTGGTAGGGGTTTTTGATATGAATACATGGACTAAGGTTAGTATATGGCTTCTGATTGATGCATACATTGCTCTCGCGAAAAAAGAACGATTCTAAACCTACCAATGACCTTGGGTTTTCTCGTGATGAGGGCGCCAACTTATAAGTATAGATTTTAACGTGTCACCATCATTTTAACTGCCAACCGTTAATTTTCGGCTGCGCTGACTTCCACTTTGTCGATGCAGGATCTCAAAACGAGCATGATATTCACATGCGACTTTCCGCAGACTCCTTTTGTGCCCCAACAGATGGTAGCAGCTCGCAAAGGAAGGCGCTTGTGTCTGAATCCCAGTCTACCGACCCACGTGAGTCTGCATTTGTACAGTTAATCCCCTATAATAGTTGTATCCAATGCCCCATTTTGTTCCGGGGAAGAAAGCGTTTGTTCCTTTCCGAACGAGTATAATTATACTTCTAATAATTGTCATTAGTTTTGCTGTTTGTTAGGTGTTGTTATACATTTTCAATTTTTTGGATTTATTGACCAGCTGGTAGTCTTATGCTGTGGTGTCAGTACGTTCACATAGTGATGCGATATTGGACGGTGCACACACCTCGCCTGAGATGACACGTTTGAAAACAGTCAGGGCCAGTTGTACATATCTGAGGTATCAAATCGTTTGGCTGGCAACTGTAGGAGAACCTTCCACTTAACCAAAGTAGCAACCTACCACTTTGCGCTCACATTTCACTCATTTCGGGGGCTCATGTCTCCCCCTGTATAGTGATTTTGCTGGTGTTTCCGCTCAATAGTAAACACTACTGAGGTAACATTTTCTAGGCATTCGTTCTTTGGGGGGTGTGGGTTAAAGTGCGGTTCTTCCAAACATACTGATTGTTTTCTGCACCGTTATCGCTCTATACGGCTAATTTACACTAACTGACGCCTTGCTGCTCATACCGATTGTGCTATTATTGTTTGTACGTTCTGCTCAATTCGCGATGTTCATTAACCCGTTTACCCACAGAACCATTTCTTGACATTTCTCAGTACATCATCTATTTCCCTCGTCCGCCTGTTCATATTGCCTGGTAGATACGAAGTGCGTGTAGTCCGGTAGCCCCAGCGTCCTGTGAGATCCTTAGCTACCCCGATCCTACAGATCAGTTCAAAGTTCCCTACTTTCATCCTTTGAGAGTTACCTTTTCTGGGTTTTAGTCCGCCACCAACCATGATGTGATGAGACTTCTCCAGGATACTACTTCCCACTGCTACTTTTCAGTATCGTTCATAACACCAAGTTATTAGTCCATTCAGCCAAGAAACTGAAGAGACGATTCACAGGCTGTTATGATTTTGGATCGATACACCAGTGGTCACACTAAAAACACTGAGCTGTTTTCACGTTAGGATGCAAATTAACCATTCTAAGTATTGTCGCTGAAAGATAAAGATTAATTCATTGAACTATAAGGGCATATCTGTTATCAGTTACAAACGATTAGATTCGAAGCAGAACAGAAGCAGCTACTAGTAATGCCACCAGCCATCTCAGTACATTCGTGAATTGCGTCTGTTCTGATACCATACCGTTCTTCATGTAAACGTACTTCCCGTCATCCATTCGTTTACTTACTGGTCAATCTATACCACTCCGTCTGAAAAGAACGCGATCCCTTCTTAGGACTTATTGCCCTATCCACCAACGGGGGGCGAGAGGGCCCAAGTGGTTAGAGCGCGAATTTACTGACCGAAGGTCCGTGCATCTCAGTACATTCGTGAATTGCGTCTGTTCTGATACCATACCGTTCTTCATGTAAACGTACTTCCCGTCATCCATTCGTTTACTTACTGGTCAATCTATACCACTCCGTCTGAAAAGAACGCGATCCCTTCTTAGGACTTATTGCCCTATCCACCAACGGGGGGCGAGAGGGCCCAAGTGGTTAGAGCGCGAATTTACTGACCGGAAGGTCCGTGGTTCGAATCCGACCTCCGCCACTCGACTTCCCCTGTCTAGGCTTGGGCAACCTGGCAGTATCCCAGCCCTCGTGCTTCCTTTGGGTGGCATGAGAGCTAGGCACCGGAAGGGTGCTACAGCTGAACGCTTTACCAGCGGTAGACCAACATCCTGGGGGTAACCAGTTTGATGAGTGTGTGTTTTCCCCAATTCGAATCCGTCCCCTTTTCATGTGTAGCACCGTATTTCTTTTCTGACAGATCCACAAGAACATCATTCGGAAAACCAAATGACTCCGGAGAGTTTTGTCCAAAGGTCCCGTTCAGATGCAGATGGCGTTGAGCCGTGCGAGGCTGTCACTGTGATCCTTTCCTGCGCTCCTGAGCAAGGTAAGCAACTCCGATACTTTTGTGTTTCCGCTTAAGACCTGGCTACCACGAACTTGCACCCGTTCCCCATTCTATGTTTCTGTTTCTTACTCGTGTAAGCTCACCTTTGTTTGATCCTATCATGATTTCACCTCTGTTTTTGTCTCTCTAGAGTCCCAAAAGGAACATGATGCCCGCTTTGAGTTATTTGCAGGTTCTTTTGCCGTGGATGGCTCAGCTCCCGTTGAAGGCATCGAAGAGGCTATATCTCTGGAGATCCCTAAGACTGGTCAGTTTCCATAAGCTCGTCAATCAGTCAGTTTCACTTTGTTCCGTTGCAATCTTTCTTAGTTATTAGTCTGCTGATTGTCATGCAGTCACCCATTGGAATTCATACCTGAGACTTCCACATCGTCTTAATTTTGAAGCTCAGCATGTGTTCAGTCACTAGTGGGATTGTTTTCCAAGCCTTTTGATTATGTCCGCAGAAGACTGTGATTGTCGTTGTACCCTTCAGTCGGCTTTTGACGTCTTGTAGGTTGCTTGTTAACCCATCAGAGTTACGAATATTGACGGTGAGATGTGCGTGTGTTTTATAGGTTATGGGACTTAGTTGGTGAACGTCGGATATCATGTAGGAAACCTCAATGAGTAGATAACATGAAGGAGCCTCTTGTTGGACTGGTGCTCAGGCCGTTTCTCTTTTGCACCTTTTATAACGAAGTACTGTGTCATCTGTTTGAACTTGTATAGTTGTAGATCATTAGTGAGGCCAACTTCACTATCTTACAGAGGTTTTGAGAAAAAACTAGTGTGATATAGGTTGCACTATTCTCATTGTACACGATGTCCTCCACACGACCATGCATTTGAACGAGAGCCCTCCCCAAGTGAATTTTTTGTGCCTAACACGACAGATAACAGAAGAAGGAAACTACTATTGTGTTCGTTTCAGCATTTATATTAAAGTTGTGATAGATTGATGAAAAGACTAACCAAACAGACCGTGCTCTTGTTGGCATTGGTCCTATGGGTCCAAAAGGATCGGCTCCATGACATTTCGGCTTAATCTGTAAGACACGTGGCCACCAGCCACACTTTTTCAGTTGGTCAACTGTCGCTCAGTGTTCTCCGCGATAGATTACTCTGTGTCCCAATGCGTGACATTTACTGCTCGTTACTTGAAGTGACCACACTATTGGTCCACATGGTACTGCCTGTTCGTAGTCCGGCAAAGAACTGAACGTTGATTGCTCATTTCCATCAGTTGGTGGTCGAATTTTTTGCTGAGGTTTACTGCATACACAAATCGATCACCGATAAAACGTTTGTAGTCAAATTGCCAAAACCAACAGAAAATTCGACCACGTGTATCTAAGTTGAAGTGATTCGCACATAGGTTACCTTTCACCACAATTGGGTTTATCTACCCGCACAAGCAGTAAATGGGTTTGTTCATTCTTTGAAGCATGTTAATACTGAGTTCCACAGTATGTGAATCGACTCAGGCACTGCACCCGCCTTCTTTTTATTATTGAGTTGCCAGCAGGAGTGACTAAACCGTGCTCATAATCGATGACAGCGGAGGAATTTTGACTGGCCGCTCGCCCAGGATTCACATGCAAGTGTGTTAAAAATTTCAGTATTTTTGGAATGAACCTTTTTGCGGAGCGGCTTTTGTGCCTTTGTGTTCTCTTTTAGTCTGTGATATTTTTGGGCAAACAACAGTGAGATGAGCTGGAGGGATTACATCGTGATGTGGCTTCAGTGATCCAGTGGATAAGCTTTCGGTTTCCCAATACGATAATCCTAGTTTTTTCTTCCTGCATTTAATATAACCTCCATAATCGTAATATAAAGGACATGGAGTATGTCACATCTTTTTTTCCGCCAGAGTTTACCTGTGTTTACCTGTTTGATCTCCAGATTCCCAGCGGGACCACGATGCCCGATTTAAGCTATTCGCAGGCTCATTTGTGGTTGATCACTCAGCTGCTGTTGACGATACCGAGCAGGTGGTCGGATCTCAAGAATTTGCCGAAGATGGTCAGTTTGTAGACTCGTTGATTTTGTTCCATTTCAACTGTTCTCGATTTACTGTTTATTAAATTTTTCAAATACCATTGCCACTTAAGTTCTTCGGTTGTGTGGTAAGGTACTAAAGTGTCTTTCAGATCGTCCGTTACACAATACCTCGTTGCTTCGGGTGAACGTTGTATCTTTCGGATGGCAACACTGACTTGCTCTTTAAAAGGGAAATTGTGTTTCCAGTACTGTGATGGTCAGATCACTGAAAACTGGACCAAATTTGTGCCTTTATGCTTATGGGCACTCATCAGCTGGACGTAAAAGGGTCGGGCAAATCACCTTTTAGTTCAGTTTCAGGCAGTTAATCTCCTTTAACACTGGTCTTCTGACCATTTTATTCAGCTTACTTACTACCAATCGTCTAAGCCCCGGAATGCAAAGTAAACCCAATAGCTAGAAAAAAGTTACGAGTACAATACTCGTTGATAAAACCCACCAGTTTATTTCATGCTCCTAAAGCCAACCAGTCTGTTGCTTAGTCTGGAGTAGATGTTTCCATCACGGAGGCTTCATGTATACATTTTTCATCCATTTTCTTTGTGAATCACACTGAAAAGTCTAATACCTTACCTTTGTTGTTCTTGTTCTTCCCAGACCTCTCTACGGGCCCACCTGAGGTTATCGCGGGTAATACGGAAGATTCACCATTTAAGAAGAAATTAGCCGAGGTTCGTTGTCCCACTCGTTTGTGCTTCATCTTCTACTATGTCGTAGTTACCTGGGTTTTCTTGTGACTGTTTAGCAACCCGGATGGTGAATAGCATACCTAGAGGACACTGTGTGCTTCGAACTCTTAACCACGCTGCTTGCAGGTGACGTTTTACAATATGGCGTTGAAAGACAGCCGTGTTATTGAGCTTGGTTCAGCATGCAAACGGGCAATCATGTCCCGACTCTCGCATTTGGCTTCACAATCTGGATCTCGCCCCAAGTTTTACCTTGCTCTAGGTGTGCTTTAGACGTGCTTCAAATGCAACGTTTGTAGTATTTGGTTGCCGTGACAAATTCTGCCATCACTGTGACTCCGAGCGACGAAGAAGCACTCGTAAGATAAGCTGATGACCCTGGCAAGCAAGTTCGTCTATCCTCTGTTTTCTTCTCAGTCCTCCCTGTTTTGTGAATTCAGTGCTCACTACACTAGATGTGGTTGGTAATCACGTGAACACGTGAGTGTGTTGTCTTGTTTCGTTTATTTTTGTCTCATTATTAACAGAAAGAAGATACAAAACCAGTACGCAGACATAGACTATTCATCCAAGATGATGAGGAAGAGGAGTATAGCTCTGTGTGTTCCATAAAATCGAATAAAAGCTCTGAAGATGCTTCCCCAGGGCCGAAATCAACATCACGAGCGATGAACCAAGAGGACAAGAAAATAGATAGAGGTGAATCGGACAGTGATTCGGATGAGAAGGGGACCTTGGATGACGAAACCGAGTCAATCGACAGTGAGGAAGCGAAGGAACTCTCAGATGATGGGAATGAATATGTTTCGGACGAGGAAGAGGCCCTAGTCAAACAGCTGAAAAGTGGCTCTCCACTTCCACAGAGAAAGAAAAGGTACGATAACTCCTTGTGCTTCACTGTTTACAGTTTCCTTGGTAATCCAGTCTCTTGACATTCTCTGTCTACACATGTCATAAACATGGGTGGTTAATTTTGTTCCATTGCGTTCTATAACAATTCAGTTGAATCTTTAAAATGTCCCAAGGTGTATCAAGCCTGTCAGTGTTCTGAGGTGGGAAGTGGTTACACGACGTGTTCAGGCTTACTTTCAGCTTACATTCTTCCCAGGTTCCGAGTGGATACTTTTCTTGACGAAGAAGCTGAGTTGTCCGGAGATGAAAATGAACGTGCATATTACATGGATGATGAAGATGACGATGATGTTGAAGGCGGTTCGGATGAGATGGAGTTTGAAGATGATGCGAATTTGCCATCTGCCGGTCGTCTACGCCGACAGGTAGAACGAGTTCATCAGCGACTACAGGCCGACCAGGACCAGCGAGAATTGCGCTTTCTTAAGGTAAGTTGCGTGCGTCCCCATGAAATCGCCAAAGTAAGCCTCTTCTTGCTGCCAAACGATCCGTTCAGTATAAGTAATAATAATAATACTGCTACTCTTGGTGCCTAGCTGCCATGCTACCCGAAGGAAGCATGAGGGCTTAGATACTGCTGGGTTGCTCAAGCCTTGACAGAAGCAACTGAGACACAGGCTGGGTCCGAACCCCTGGCCTTTCGGTCAGTAAGTTCGCGCTTTAACTACTGAGCTATCTTGGGGTCCAGCAAGAGCACAACTATCCAAATAAGTTTCACGGGTAACTGTAACTTACATTCGGTTGGCCTAGTAATAGTACTGATAAGTGACATTTTTAACTGCGAGTAGTGTGGAACGCCAATTAATGCTTGGATGTTTATTTTCCGTTTCTCTGTAGTACACTCCCTGAATTTCGTCTATTGCTCGTGCCAGGTAGTCTCTCTGTTCGAGAGAACGGACAATGGAGCCTTAATAACTACCTGTGCTTTCCCCGCTGGGCGCGAGACTAGATATCGGAGTCTCACCTTATCAGCGTTTTGAGTTACTCGCGTATTTGAGGATAGCATGCATCCATTGATACATATCCTCGTCTCCTTATTGATCTTATCCTCTATTCCACCCACCTCTCGTACTGTTAGTATCCAGGTCCTACAGCGTACCAAACTATAGCATTCGCGTACATTGCCCATGATCGCAAACAGAAGAAAAGCAATCTAGATTCATTCGATACCGTACAGTGAGCGAAGTCATGAGTTAATAAAGTGCACCTGATTGAAGAAGTAAAGTTCTAATGTTCATAAACATCTGATTCTCAGGAGAGATCGAGATTATCGAATTCATCAAGTAGCTTATGATGAATTTGCGATACTGACTTTCCTCATCTGATTGTTCCATCAGTAACGTCACCAAGAGACTGACATTTATCGTGGTGTGACGATTTGTGTGCCTCCATGATCCATTGAGCTATACTAGTAGGGTATCCGTGAACGTTCTCATATCAGGTTGGTCACTGGTTAGAGCTATGACCAACACGGTCCCCTGGCCTTCCAGGTTGGGGTTTGGAACGTAGGTGGCAATTTGTTCTTTTAAAAAGGGGGTCGAGAGGCCTCAGTGGTTAGAGCGCAGGTTCACTGACCGGAAGGCCCGTGGTTCGAACTCGACCTCTGCATCTCGACTTTTGTCTAGGCTTGAGCAACCTGGCAGTATCGCAATCCTGATGCTTCTTCCGGGTGGCATGGTAGCTGGGCACCGCTGAATGACTATCTCTTATATTATTGTCAAGGTATGAGTACTATTATGAAATTCCCATTAACACTACACCCGTCGTTGCGTGGCACCATCAACAGGGTCGCTTCATTTACTTCATAATCCAAGACGAGTAAACGTAAAAGTGTTAACACTGATCCCCTCACACTGTCGCCAAAGACAGACATCGCTGTGGTTGCTGGTGACATGGACAATCAGGTATGTAAACTGAACGCTGCTGAGGCCCAATTGGGTGGTCATGTTGGATAGGATAGGAGACGCACGGACGATGGAGGGCACCTGCTCCAGATGTGTGACGACTGCAGACTGTTCTTTTGCAGTGCTAATTTACGGATCACTTCACTACGAGGTAACTAACAATGAACCAGCCCCGAGTCCAAACAGACCACAAACCATCAGTTAGGAGTGCGAGTGTCATTCACCTCCTGCTCCTTGTGATATACAAGCGTTGACTTCGATCATGAATTTGTGCGCCGCTACTTTTCATTACGCTTCTGAGGTCTACGCAAAACGCACACCTCGCTCATCCGTTGAGAAGTTATTGGACCCAGAAGTCAAACAAAACTATCGTAACCGCCTCCTCGAACACCTGCCGGATGGCCTGATATCGGATGTTATTTGCCACTGGGGACAGATATCCAAGACGCCACTCGATCCTGGAAATTGCGTTTGCGGTAAAATCCAAACACTGAATCTCTTATATGACCGTGTCTTTGCTAGAGACCCGGCGACAGATTTCTGCTGCCTGCAACCATCCGCGGTAAAACTGAATGTCCGTACAAACCGATGAGCTTGGTGAGCTTAAAGGGCCAAAGAAATTGAAGATGCGGAAAATGCTGGGAACGTCAGCAAGCTACCTCAGAACTGTCCAACTGCAATTCTCTATTCAAGAGCCATCTCGCTCTTGATGCTGACGACTTTCTACTGCCTGTGTTCCTTAGCCAGTACTTATCTATCTGGGAGAGTGAGGCCATCCCAGACAACTTAATTAAGTCGATCATCGTGTCCAAAAGGAGTACTCACAATGAATGTGGTTGTCACAGAGGTGTCAATGCGTTTCCACACAAAAAGTAGTGTCCGGCATGATGTCCATTCTCTTCATTCTCATTCAACCTCGCAACTGATGAACAATGGGATGAATTCTTGAAGGTTTTCAGAACCGCGGTGCTTTAGTTAATGCTGGTGAGAATCTTGTCGATCTGGAGTTCGCAGACGACATCGCCCTCGTCTTTAAAAACCAAGGTGAAGCATAAACCCTTTTGAATAGACTGACCACCGTCATTCCATCTTTCCGCATCCGATTTTTACCTTCATAGTTGAAATTCGTGCTTCAGAACGTCCAATTCCTGAATATTATCCTTACAATTCAAGAAGGATTTTACGTATCTCAGTAGTTTTATTAGATCTGATGACTGTGTATCTGATGAAGTCGGTGCGCGAATCTCAGAGGCTACAAATCACGTTTGCTACTTTGCGTCACTTGTGGGTTCAAAACGGCATATCACTTGATCTCAAGGGTCGAACGTACCATGCTACAGTAAGGACCGTGTTGCTGTATGGTTGCAAAGCATGTTCTCTTCGGACAGCTACTGTCAATCATCTGTAAGTTGTTCGTGTCGGATGGCATCAACGAATTCGTAATGAGTTAACTAGAGAGTTAAGTACGATTGTTCTCAGACTTCCCTGATGTGCCACCGTATCCACAAAATTTTGTAGTTAACCTTTGATAAGGTAATCGATAGCAGAAATACCATGTATATGTTTTGAAATATAAACATGGTAAGAAGGCACAGGCCTAACGTTTACGAAAATGTTTTGGAATAATAGAAGGCCCAGAGATTTCGAAGTCCTGCTTCCTTATGCGGTGCAAATCATCTTGTACCTCGTATTACAGTACTGCACAGCTACTTCACTGTTATAATTCAAACGCCGATAACCTGCCCTCGATTTCCGCGGTTCACTTGTGAACATCTATCCAATAATTATTATATATCTTTCCGTCCTTTCACCACAAAGGCGGGTTTGCATGACCATCTCTCATTTGTAAGATTTAAATACCTTCCTATTCAAGAAGACTGTTAGTTATCTGTTTAGCAAGGATGGGCGATTCAGTGAAGCTTCATCAGACTGTCTGTGATGTCTTCCTACTGGTACAGCTAGCCAAAACCGTCTTCCAGAGTCCTTCATTGAATAGTTTTTGCAAAGGAACAGACCTGTGTTCTGTGTGACTGAAAGTCGGGTATACCGTGGGTCTACTGCTCTCATATCCAGAGATTGCTGTTCACGCACTATGGATTGGACTCTCCGGGGCACTGATGAGCATGCTAAAATCGGACTGAACAACTGAACAACTGAACAACAACCGCGCTTTTTCAATTCCGACTACAACTTTAGTTCCTATCCGCTTAATTGTTTGCTTCACTCTGTCCTGCAATTGGTTCTTTCTACTTAGGAATTGTACTTCGAAGATGGCGATCTGTATGCTGAAACCGGCCAGGTCAGGCAGCGACGCTTCCGGTGGCGTGGATTGGGTGAGTGTGATTAGCGTCTGAAGTGCTCTCTCAATGACCGAAAAACGTCTTAGTTAATCTGTCGGTGAAATAGTGCTAAGGTTTTATGACCGGCTAACCTTTTGATTGACTAGTTAGTCTTATGGGATCCAGTGAACTGACGAGTCGATGAGTAATTTGGTGGTAAGAAATATACCAGCCTTTAATCCTAAATGTTCGAAAAGTAATTGTTATTGAACGGCTGCGCGTTATTAGATGAAACCCGATGAATGCGTAATCACAGACCTACTGAAAAGTCTATACGTTCTGTATACTTTGGTACACTTTGTGTGTACGTAACTTTAATAATTTTTGGAAGAGTTAAATAGTTCATACCCGCCATTTTACCATTTATCCCAATGCAGGATTGCAATTCACCGTGACTCTTTGGATTTTGAGAGTTGTAGTGCGTTCTTAGGCTTTGATTTCTAAGTTTGATGGCAGCCACCATATAAAACATCCAATGATTGCAAAGAAAGAAGCACTCGCCCAATGTCTTACCCACGCGGACAGCGAGGTCAAGAAACGAGCTTAATGATTCTTGATGTGACCTGCCTCGGCAACTCAGCCGCGTCAAGGATAAATAGTACAGAAAGCTGTGCTCACATATGAATTCGCTGCACGATAGCGACGCGGAGTTTTGCGATCATTTGGATGCTATCTATGGACTGAACATCAAACTGTCCAGGATACTGTCATGAGACTGAGGTAGACGTTACCTGCGCAGGCACTTCAATAAACTATTGATTCGGCCGATGAGCGTCTACTTGACCGCAGTAGGTAGACTGCCTCAACTGGAGATAAAACTCTTTCTGGGTCTGCCTCCTGCTATCCAAGAGATGTGTCAAGCTAACATGCAATTATGGAGTGACCAGACAGCTGGAGAAGACGGGCAGCAGAACTGTTCAAGTATGTTCTGGCCAACGTTGTCTGGCAGGAAGAGGAGGTCCCACTAGAAGCAGCAATGCCGTGATCACGCCAAAACTTCACGTAGGCATTGGTGTGCTGGGCTGCACCAGCGAGCTGCTGGCGCGACTGGAACTCCGTTTGAAAGTTGAATTGATCGAAGCACACACTCCCGTAGAACAGTGTAGGTTCCGTGCTCGTCGCAACACGATGAACCTGATATTTTCTTCACGACAGCTTCGAACAAAATCCTGCGAATATCGCTAGTCGCCACAGAATTCACATAACTCACGAAGGCCTTCGGCTGCTGACTATCTCGCTACCATGAAACAAGGATTCCTTGTGAACCCCATTCAACTCAGCCTCTGTCTAACGGTTGTCGTTGATGTGGCTTTCTTAAACGACTCTGCTGGCCTACAGTTACAGCGAGAAAGCTAAAGAGACAGAGTATCCGAGAAACTCGGAATGTGTAAACTGTCTCGCAACAGGCCCCAAAAGGCCATTGATGTGCGAACCACCAATCGACAGAAACGGCCTGCCTATCTGTAGAAAGCAAGAGCGTGTGAATCATTGTCGTAAACACCTCCAAGTACAATTCAACTGATCACCTGCAGTTGCTCAGCCAGATTTTCGACCTGGTACGCAGCCCTGACAGTGAACTTGGAACTCCAGGCCGAATGAGCAGACCAATTTTATTCCTCAAAGGCAATCGACTTACTAGTCCCGATGCACTCCCACATCCTGTTTTTATAGATAGAGATGAAACTTGGTTCTTGTCTAAGTTATCTGCCTCTGTCTGGGAGAAATACCGTGCAAACCAACCACCGCTATACGATAGTGGTGCCCATTTTCGAAAAGAATACTCACAATGCGTGTGGCAACCACAGCGTCACGTTCCCCCGTTGTAAACATATTCTTTGCGTCGCTCATCTTGCGTCTTTGTGCGAGAGCATGTGTAGACGAGACCCGAGATGAGCAATGAGGATTCCCGCGGGAAAGGAGCTTGAGGTAACAGGATACGCCTCGGGAGTTGCTGAATATCATGCGCTGTTTGTATTCACATACTTGTGGTGACGTGAGAGTGTATGGGAGCTGCTCGACCGCTTTCCTACAAATAGTGGTGGCCGGCAAGAATGTCCACTCTCTGCACTTTTGTTAAATTACTTAATTGCTAAGGTGATCAGACGAATATTTGAGTTTCTCTACAACCGTAACCGTAGCTGTGCTTGCTAATTTGCGCCATTTATCGCACCAGAAAGGCATATAGCGTATATCAGACCACAGGGTAGGTTTTACTGTTGTACGGCTGCATCTCCCCTGTGCGGGGGGATGTGAGACGTCTCCAGGTTTTCGACCACGGATTTCTCATAACTGTAGTTGGAATATCGGCTGAAACCAACAAATTTGCAATGAGGTGATCAGGAGACGGGTTTTGGGTGAAGCAGACCGTACGTCATCCAAGGAATGCAAGCTAAAATAGCTGCACCATGTGTTACTCATACCGAGTTACCGCCTACCGAGATGAGTGCTGTTTTCTCAGCCTCATTCGGTATGGGGAAACTTAGAGATGGATAGAATTTGTTACGGCAGGACTTAATGTAGGACGTTACGGAGTTTTCGGGTACTGTTGTTTCTGTTCTTCTTTCAGGATGGGATTACATGACCTTCCGTTTGCTTGACTGGGAACACTGAACGACGTATCGACAGACCGTTGCCAGTGGCGTTCATGCTGTCATTTTCTATCGAGATTGTCTGACTGTCGGAGGTACAAGCATCTCGGATGCATATAGTAGGCCAGCCCTAGATCCTCATTTCTTTTTTTCCATTATAAGGCTGTGTTGAAATAAACTGATATGTTTGTTGGGCAGTGAAGCACCTGGCGTTGCTTTCCACGATGATAGTCTGTGGAGTCACCAGTGTTGCCAAATGTGATAGTGATCGCCTGGACTTTAGGCACTACGCCCTCTTTCCGAATCCTTTTTATCGGCCTAGCTATTCCAGACAATCGAAAGTGTTGCAAGGCAATAAGGGGTTCCCCCTTGAGAATGACCGATCGACCAAACGGTAATGGAATGGTAATGAGCGCCCTCTGCTTATTTCTGGAACGTAACAGCACAGTAGCCGCTCTCCAATATTCGTGTGATTAGCAAAATTCTAGTGTTTAAGCTAAAAGGATGTTATGTATGGCGAGAACAGTCTACGCTAATGTCAAGTATGAAAATGACTGCCGCGACCCGGGATCGAACCGGGGACATTTAGATCTTCAGTCTAACGCTCTCCCTGCTGAGCTATCACGGCCGACTGGAAGCCCACAGTTTACGGTCGTATCTTGTGTGCAGCAGACTGTTCATTTGTTGCCTTCACTGTCGGTCGTGACTAATCTTCACTTTGCCCAATGCGCTTGTCGAGCGTTTGCTCGAGATATTCACATATATACTCCTTGTCTTGTCGCAGCTCTTCAGGCCGATCCACTACATAGACAACAGGGCGAGAAAGATGCATATCTACTGTAAGGAGCAATCGATCGTCCTTCACAGATGCGATAAAAATCACTGTCCATTGGCGGTGACGCGTAAGATCCCGTATGGGTGGATTTACCGGACAATACGGTTTACTCTCTACTTGAGGTTTTATCTCTTACCGCTGATGAGCTATTTTTCACCGTGAACTCGCCGGTGGCTTTGATTTAGCCGCATCTATTCTTAACATCTTATTTAGTGTTTTTAAGCTCGCTCAATATTTCGTTTTATTACGCCTAGTTTATGTGATAGGATGAGTCGACTCTATGTACGTCGCCGGCTAGAGCTCCCTACACATGGCGATCGACGACAAGTTATGCTCATACTTCGGTTCAGTGTCATTTCCAGCAACGAACACTACAAATTATGTGAAGTCCGAAACCCTCAACACTTGATAGTGGCAAGGCCCCTTGTCAGCAGACCCTCCGGTGGCAGCTCCAACCCGTGTGGGGGGATAAAAGAAGAACCTTCTTCAATAACTTGTCTTATGTTTTCCGGAAAAGGAATGCCCGAATCACTCGGGTCCGTATTGTTGGAAGTACATAGGTAGTTGCGTTATTCCGGAATAGCGTTGTGAAGCCAATCGCGCCATGTTGTCTCAAGCTTGATTTCTTAGTAGAATTGGCCAAACTCGTCAAATTATTTTAAACCTTCCGTCCGTAAGCCCCAGATTTCTTCCAGTAGGACGAGGTGAATAGTAGATTGGTTGAACTGAAATCCAATCATCAGACGAGTTTCTGTTCTCTTCAGCAAGAAATTTTTCCGTTGAACGAACAACTTTTGGTTTCGTCCGTGGCGTGATGGTTAAGGAGACTGACGTCCCAATAACAGAGACTGAGTGACTCCTGGGTTACCTAGAGCTTGTGTTTGTGAGGAACACCAGTGTTGTCTTAACCGGAACTTCCCAGGTCAGTTGAATCGCTCACTTTCGCCTTATGTTGTTATTAGTTAATCAACGTTGGCAAGATCTCCGGGATGGAACGATAGCGTCTGACCTGGGAATCTTACGAAGTAAGTTGCGTAAGCGACGATAATTCATTCTGGAGGCCGTGTGAACTACACTCACTTGGTATATATGTAAACGGTACGAATGGACATGGCATACCGTTCCGCCGCTCTCTAAATCAATAGCCCAAGTAGAAAATAGAAAATTAACACTGCTTTTGGATTACCTTGAAATCGCAACCCACACAGGCGACTCCGAGTCTTATATGCCGTGTGGATGCAGAATCGCTTCATGGTTCCCGGATTTGGCATCACCACCTCTGACATGGCACTCAGTCAAATGTCTTTCATGCAGCCGTAGAGGTCGAAAATTCCTGAACCATTGTACGCAGTGTTGTTTTGGTGATCGTTTCTAAGTGACGAAAAAGCATTGTAATGTGTTCTTTCCCATAATAAGCGTCACCGTGGCGTTTGTCACTGAAGCTAGTACCGCTGCGTTGACACGGTAAGCTACTGGTTGGCAGAACATTCTGTTGTGTTTCAGAGGCCTTTTTGATCTTAGTATTCTTGCCCGACCTAGTTTGTCCTCTCGGTCTTCTCGACATTCTATGGTTCTCCGCACCTGAAGTTCCGTACTCTACCAAGTGATTGATCTCAGTTCTATATTCTCTTTTGGTAAACCCGGACCAATATCGGGTAATCGCGTGTACTAAGACACCAATCGACGGTTCATATTTCTACTTATATATTTTTTCTCCATCGATCTAGATGCTCAGGACCCATTGATAGACCAGCTCGATACCGAGGCTGCTGATTACTCTGATGAAGACGAAGACCAAGACAGACCTCCTTTTGGGCCAATGGATCGTTGGCTTGCAGGAGGATTGCACCGTAAACCCGTCAGCACGGATAAAGTGGATCTGGATTCCATTTCTCCGACCAAGCAGCAAGCTGAACAACGTTCAAGTGATGCTGATGATGCGGCTTCTCATGATGAGAACGACGATCCATCGATAACACCGACGCGGTCCGAATCCCAGGTGAGCCGGCATTCCCGGTAACCTGAATCTGTGCTCTTATTTTTCTCTTGCTGGTGGTTGTTCTTATCAATGTGAAAACTGGGATAGAAGTCGCAGCAGTGCGTCGTTTTGATGTTGCGTAGAACGCTTCGCTGCACAAATTTCGGCGGACATGCTCCCCCATCACACGATTTAGTATTCGCTGGAAGTACGGCAGCAGAGTTTGGAATAGGTTCATGTTCGACATCTCGTTGAGTACTCCCATTTTACACTTTCCCAAAAGAAACCGTGGTTTTTACTAAACTTTTGCGCAGAATTTGGTGAGAATACCACACTGTTAACGCATAGTCTGTGTTTACTACGGTGAACTCTACGTCTCCGATCAATCAACTTTTGAGTCATTTGAATTCTTTGTCTGTTGGCGTTGAGCATGTAAGGTACTTTTTACCCTGATTTGTGCAAGTTGTGAAGAGGCAAGCCCCGAGACAGCATGTAAAGTCTGTTATCACACTGACTACGGATTCGTCAGCCATATTTGGAAGTTAAGCATGCACTCGTGTCGCATTTAGCCCGTTTTGACACAATGAAGGTGCTGGTGTAGGTTGTAATGCTGAATGATACTTCAAGAGAACGCGGGCTTTCCCCAAGGTGTGATTCTGTTTAACCAGCCGTTTGCTCATTCAGACAGCGGTCTGACTACTGGTGAATAATCGGAATGTTTTGTGCTGAAGTTCCCACGAATGTATGATGGGATTATGAACTTTTTGGAGCCATTGGATTTACTTAAGCTAACTACTAAGATTCAGGTTACCAGTGAGTTCCGAAAATCAAGTGGCCACGCTGAACATCTTTGTCGCAAATCCGGATTTCATTCTGTATACTTTTTTCAATATGCGCAGAACACTATGACTGGTATTTATTTCATCGTACATGTGCACACATTTTGCATTTTGTGTGTAAATGGCATAGCTATGTTTCCGTTCGACTGACCGTACTAAACCTGGTCTTACTAGATGCACCTGCCTTTATCCGTTACGCCGCTATTATTTATGATTGTACTATTTTCTCATCTCCAGCTTCAGTCTCTTGGACGCCAGGCTTTAATAAAAGCGAAATCACGTAAACAAACTCTTCTTGCCCCAACCAACACGAGACCTCCTGTTTTTTCTACAACCGGTGAGTTAACCTTAACAGTAGTAGTTTACTGTTTGTTTTGTCCTGTGAAAGCGGGTACTGTTCACGTGACATTTCCGCTTATTTCCTCAGGTGTTTCAGTCAAGTCTAAGTGCGTTGTAAACTCCCAGTCTACCCTCATCAATGCTTTTCAAGTAAAGAAACCACCCGAATCCCGTGCACCTCAGTATCACAACTCGCCTTCTGCTATCGCGCCCCGTTCGAACACTACTTCTGACCCTGTGAACGGAGAATTGTATTCTGGGAGTAGCAGCAAGCTTCGAAAGGTGAGTGCTCTCTTTTACCGGAATTCACTGATACGATGGGTTCCGGGTCCTTGTTCTGTATTTTCGGAACACCTAACCTTCCACACTGTTGCTTTTTGTGAGCAGTTTGTTGCGGTCTGTGATAACCGACATTCTCTTCGTCACACGTGATTGATGCACTAACATAACAAGTACTATGGTTTTTGCAGAATATCACGTCATTCCTTCCATTAACTTAACGGATTGAACAGAAAGAAGGTGGAGTAGGTAGATCTTAATGGTAATTTTCTTTTGACTCGGGTTTTGCGTATGTTTTAACGTTTCGATGAGCACAACATTCAGATATTCGGATATACGGGATATAACTCTTATCATAGTTGAATTCTTTGGACAGGGTACTCAAAATCGCCTAAGACTCTGGTCTCCTCTCTGATGTGCACCGTTTTCAACCACACCCTCAGTTTACAGCATCTTTGTTTTTTCTCGGTTCTACAGCGGGGCTCTCTGTTGAGTCGTGTTTTCACCGTTCCTCGTTCGGATATCGGACGCTTTGTATCGGAAGATTCACAATCAGAATTGATCGTAAAACTCAACGACAATTCCTCATCCTGTTCGGCCAATTTCTCCAGCCAACCAAATCTCCATCGTAGTCAGGCCCATTTTCTTGGACTCCGAAATAAGATTGGTCTTTCTTGCTTCAACGTGCTCAGCCAAACCGGGACAAATGCAACCGATTCGTCTTCGCAAGAGAGCGGACTAAAGAGGTCACAAGCGACATCTGTAAGTTCTCCCTACATCATCTAGTTTGTAGGCCTTCGCATTTTACGGGTCGCTCCATCACTTGTGGATTCATGCATGCATAATCACAAAATATGACTTATCCAAGGTTTTGTGTATTATTTGTCGGTAAGTCTAAGTGGGTGACCGGGTTCAACTCGTTGGCCATTGATAACGACAGCGATTAATATTGCCATTCATGGATCCCTTCGATGAACAGCCTTATTGTAACTAACTAATGTATGCTTATCATTGAAATGCCATTCAGAGGCCGAATATCCTAATGTACTCAACCGATCAGATCTGATCCAAACAGCTGATTGCTTAGCGGATCATTATCACCCCGATAATTGTTTTGATTCTTTAGATGCTGTCTGCATGATGTTTGATCTTGATACGGTATTCTCCCTTGGACTGCGCGACGGCTTATCCCGTTCATCAATAGTTTAATTTATAGACAGATCGTGCTCTGCCGTGTGGGGGAGAGGAACCACGGTCGACATGTAGCGCTTTTTTTGGTTCACCTCCATAAAATCCCGGGTTCGGTTTCGGTCTTTGTACAAAAAGTGAAGAAAACAACGTAGTGCACAATCTTGTAATGAAGCCCTATTGTCATCATAATCAACTTTTCATCTTGTTTGTTTTGCTTGGATTCTGACTGTTTTCCATTCTCATTTATGTAATTTTTAGTAGCAAAAATAGTAGTAAAAATAGTCCCCGGCTGATGAGTAGACTAGTTCGAGTTTCAAAAATTTCTTCTTTAACTTGTTAATGACACTAAATGAGTGAAGCTTCCTGATGTATGAACTTTCTTACTATCGTTGTTTCGATCTTGAAGATAGGGAACTAATGGTTAATGTTCTTTTCCACCCATCTATACTTTCCATCATATTGATGAAAATTTCACGTAATACTTAGTTTTAAAAAAGTCTGTTGCAACAAACCATCAGTCATAGAGTACTCCTTTTAACAATCCCGTGGAACGTTGTTACGCCTGTTTTTTTGTAAGTGATTGAACCTCGTGTGTCTCATTTTTCCTCAGAGTTGTGCTGAGTTGCATGGTTTTAAAGTTGTTATTTAGCCAAAACACGATGCCCTCGTGGTTTAATCAATCCCCTTGTCATTCACTCCCTGGATTTTTCTATACTGTCAACGATTATTCTGAATTTCGTTCTCGTGCCCGTTGTACAGCATGGTTTGTTATGACAGTATATGGTATGATATGATATGATACGATATGGTGTCATCTATTCATGTTTGCTTTACCGTGTTCATTTTGCAGTCCTCGCGCCCAGCCGAAGTCGAGAAAAGGACTTCTGTGGGCTCACACAACCCTCCAAAGTTAAAGCGACCACGATCGGTGAGCGTATTCTCAGCCCTTCACTGATGAATTCATTCTCACTCGGAAGACCTTATTTTTGTAAACAGATTCACAACTTCGTCATTCGTTTAGTACTGCGACACTTGTCTTGTTGTGAATATTCTTTCTTTAAAAATGAACTTTTGTCCATTGTCCTGTTCCACCTTTCAAAGACAATCCAGCATCCTCGTGCGTCGTCTGTTCTCGATCACTCTTTCATAACAGCTGTCGCCGTTAGGATTAGGATGTATGAGGGTACAGTGATTCCACCGTCGAACTGATTAACCCAACGACTTTCCAGTGAAGTTCGGTTCTGTTTTCTGCTTTCAAGTCAGCCATGTACTTAAACTTTACCAGAATATGTACTACCATATCGCAACAGTAGGCTATTGCGCCTTCGTTATGTGCGCTTAGCTACCGAGATAATTACGTAGTCAAACTGCTGCATCAGTATCTGCAGCTAGCGCAGTTGAGATCTCTGGTAGTCAAGCCATGCCTAATGAGCCTCTCCGGACCGCAGACCATGATGTGGGTCTCATTCAGAACCACTCTTCCGGCTCTGACACACACTACCTTGATGACTATGAACAAAGGAGAAATGAACAGGTTGCCGTAGGATTTGATAACCTTACGGAACAGCTTCACATTTCGCCAGGCCACGGGGTTTAACTAATACCATATGAGGATCATGGAGTTTCTTGAGATTCGAAGGCAACATGCCAAGAACCCCAGCAGTTTAGAAGAATGATATCGACTTTTGTATTTAACGCTCAGGATAACAGCTGTGTATTATGAGGATTGCGACTCATTTTGCTACCGTGTCTGTCGCGCATGGTTGTGCGGAGGAAAAGAATTCATCCGCTGTCTTCTGCTGTTTCACCGCAAATATAAGTTGAGATTTTGTTGAATCCATCGAGTTTGCCTCAACAGCACATGCCTCCGTGCATCTACTAGTTCTTTCGTTTTGAGAAAAGTTCCGTGTTGTGAGTGTTGCCTCATCACTTACAACGTCGGAACTTAATATGTTGAAGGTGAAAATCCTGGGAATTGCGCCTCGCATGTTGTGGCAATTTATAGTAGCTGTAGCTACAAACCACACGAAAGAGACTGGATTTGAGGACCTAGAGACGGAGCGGAATGATGTGGTAGAGGTTAATTTTAATCGGTTTAGTACAGCAAACCCAATTGCCTACCTTGCTAAGAATCCAAACTAGCATGTTCGAGAGCTCATTTTTGTTCCATTTATTGCTCACCATCAGGTCTGTTTCGTGTGTGCTGAGGGAAACTAAATATTGCAGATGAACGAGTCAGTGTTTGCAGTCACTTCCAAACTGCACAATTCCATCTCTTTTGCTGAGAGATGAGTTTCACTTAATTTCCTCTAAGTGTGAGTTAATCACGGTCAATCAATCACCCAACCGTCAAGCGCTGAAGTCCCATCCTGGAGGTCACGGGCTAGTAACTGCTTGAAGTGATACATATATTCCAAGAGGGCTTGAAACAGCTATTTAGGGTTTATCGAGGTTTCAACATGGGATTTAATCCACAAATGAGGCTTCGAAATTTCACTTACGATATTGCCTTCCTAAAGTAATAACCCTTTGTCATTATTTCCATCACGTTTTAGTCACCCCTCCTAGGACTCTGTATTCTGAATAGACTGGCCATACGATGGTATAAAAGTGACACATGTGTAATGTAACTTGAACTGAGAGGCTCTTTGTATTCCCCATTTCAAACACTTGATCAAATCTTCCAGCCATGTACAGCCTACTCCACAGTGTCACCGTAGCGTAACAAAAGCTGGGTGACCAGATTCAGTGGTGCACAGGTTATCGGTATTATCAGAACAGGAAACAGTTTTTTATTAAGCCGAGGGGGAGTAAACATGTGTTACAAAGGCATAGTAACCGAAAAAGACGTGGACGAAAACGCAGAGAGCATCCCATAACAAGGGGATAGATCGTCAAACGAAAACCGAAGCTCTCTGTAAATAGGACGTGTCTCACAGCCTAGGATTCAATTTAATAGGAACCGTTTTTTCTGAAAACGAAGAACCAAAAATGCTAGCGTTCCATGACTTTTTTATGTATTCTTTTGCCAATATGGCATAAGCTATGTTGGTCGCAAGACCCGGCAACTGTCTCGGAGAATTCCTGAGCATTTGTCATTATGCGATGAGTCTCTAAAAATCAAGGGCGTGACAAACGGGATCAACCAGCCGAATCGTACAACTAAATTTATCGAATTCCACTCAGTTCCACGTAACGGCCAAACCGATCGCTATTAAATTAAGTCAACGGTCCCTGTGTCGCTAGAAACGTCACTGATCACCAGAGGACTTGCTCACATGAACGCAAAAAATGGACGATCCTCACTGTCTCATTTTTACAGGTTTTGTAACTGCGACTACACTTATTTTGGTAGTAAGGAGACCTCTAGCAAGACGTGATGGCTGACTGCTCAGTGTATACTCTCCGAATGCAGTCAGGACAGTAGTCTAGAACTTGGTTTTTAAGCGGCGATTCTGCATTGTCAGTAGTCAGAAACTGATGCAAACAGGCCACGAGGTTGAACTTATGAACTCTTTTTGAACCTCGTGTACTACAAGCAATAAAGCTTCAGCAATTGGTCAAGATTTACCAATCCCGCGTACCCTAAAGATGTCGACTCGGAATAAGTTGCTTCTCTTGCTGACCAAACGACCAGAGCGGATAAACTGATGTCGGTCCAACAATGTTTTTTCTTACTTCTTCTAAATGCATTCTAACATCTGCAATTGTAGAAGGCGAAACAAATGTTAGCATATCGAAACCTGTTTTCTGTCAACCAGTTTTACTGGGGTAGGTTCCCGCTGCCACTGTCTTGAAAATGGCCTGCAGATAATTGCCCCTTCCTAGTAGTAGCAAAACCAAGAGAGTTTGGACGCTGGAAGGTCGCTGAGTGTCAGCTGGACTTAAAAAGACCCTTTAACATCAAGGATTCATTTGAGGGTTTTTAAGAACCTATTTAAACGACCTAAACAAATGCAGAAGTTATTGGATGTGCCCAAACAAAATCCTATATCCTCCTACGCCTTGTGGGTCAGACTTTTAAGTTAAAGGGTCAAGGTGAAGTACATCAACCAAACCCCCTTCTTCAGCTTGGGCAACGGGAAGTATCATTTGCTCGCACTTTTCTTCCTTCCACGGAGATGCCTTCCCACCATCCAAGCAAACGTTGCTAGGTTGTCTGGCTGTCAGTTATCTGACCGATTGGCCTTATGCACTCCGCTGCTTATCAATTATAAACAAAAAAATACCTTGCTTAATCCACGAGATCCTTCCTATATAGGATCTTTTAACGTCCGTATTCTATATCACAGTGGCTTAGAGAAAATGCTCCCTGAAAGCTCTTATATTCCGTTGAAATCGATGGGTACTGTGTCTTCGTAACACTCATGCAAAGCCCAAGGGTGGATGTGCATCTCAGAACGTCTTTAACGAACTCAGATCTTTCCCATATTTTCCTCTTAGTCCGGTCATCCTTAGGCGATGACTTGTCGAATATATGGCGTGGGAGTTGCACTCGACCCTAGAGCTGAACGCTGTTTGCTGGATCGGATCTTAGTGAACACCGTTCGGATATCCATCTCAATCAAGCACACTGCCTACCGACATAGAAAGTGCATGTTTGTAGTGTCGACTTTTAGCCCAACAGACTACTGTTCTGATAATGAGAAGGATGCCTCTGTCGAAGGTTATTCGATCTCATTCCTCGAGCAAGAGGCATTGACACTGTGATCCTTGCAAGCGATATAAATGCCGAAGTTGGCTGGTTGAGGTCCTTGGAATCATATTTTGACAATCGATTCTCGTCACACAGACAAATGAGAGCAACTCTTCCAGCTGATCGTGAACTGTTTCTGGTCAGTGAGAACTTTCAGCACGAACGTTCTCATTGCGTGACCTGGAGTGCATCAACTGCAAGACCCATCTGATTGCATCTTCAGAAGTTCGTCTCCCGTGGGATCACGCGCTAAAAGGCTACTGTTGAGGATGTTTGGGGAGAGCAGTAGTTGTTGTTATATCATAACACCTCAAAATTCGACGTTCTTTCCTTTATTGGAAAAGCGGGAGGTCTGAGAGAGTTGGGGCGTGACGAATTGATCTGCCGATGAATTCTTTCAAGAAGAAACAAATGCGTCCGAAAGCAAAAGTCGGTAAACTGAATGAAGAATGTCTGTATGGTAGCATATTCATACCCAGAAATAGAATGTGAAAAAGCAGGCACTGAATTCACAAATTGTTATTGTTGTGCATTAAGTAATCCACCATTCTGTATGCATTTGTGTTGATAATCCTGCCAACACACTCTGACGATGAAAAGCAACAAGTACCACGATAAGAGTATAACGTTTTCAGGTTTTTGGTCTCCGTCCTTTCACGTACTTATGGTCCTCTATTGCCTAAGGACCAATACTGTTGACACCATCGTGAAATTAGTGTAACACGTCACACTAAGTTGGATTACCGTTTCTAGTACATGATGCTCTATCCAGCGCAAATCTGATACATGCACCAATAGGTCACAATCCTGATATGGGATGATAATGTGACAGGTGGATGCAGAGGAATAGTACGGTAGTGCGTGAATAAATTGCATGAAACTGAAAGTGTCACTTCCTGGGGTATGGAGCCTATTGGATCATAGTTCGACTACATCCAAATATCCCTGAAAAATGAGCCTCCTGAAACCATCTAAGTATATAAGCTGACATGAACATTAGTGTTACATTTACTCGAGTTATTGAAATTGCGTGTATCTGCCATCAGTCGGACCGCGCGTGATCGATCATTGTACACGGGTGTAAATCTTTAAGGGGAAATAGAAGGCAGCAAAAAGATGATTGACATACGTTGAAATTTTGAACCAGTGAATCATGTTGCCTCTTATCAATATACCCGATATTCAGGAGACTACTGTTGTAAAGGCTCTGGATACCGCGATATTACCCCTTTAGTTTTGTCGAAAAGTTTCCTTTTAGAAAATGTTCAGTCAGAGAGAAATAGAAAAGTTTTCCAGCATAAAGGACTTGAGGTTTCTTCAAAGTATTCACCTTCAGATTAGAACGATTTGGCATCTTCCTAAGATCACCGTTGAAGTTCTAAACCAGGTTTCAAGTTAGCGTGTGCTGAAATTTACTCTGTAGAAAGCTAAAGCGTTGACCTAATATTACGGTACAGATTGATTTCTATACCAAGGAAGGAAAACAAGGTTTCTGCCAAGGTTGATAGTCTTTGGCAGTCCAAATCGAACTGATATTACTTTGGTATTTAAAAGTAATCTGTGGTCAAAGATACTAATGTAGACCCGCTGATTGTGTGGCTCCGAAAAGGTTTGTAACAGTCGAACTTCGGAACGTAGCTGCCAGCTTTATTGTTCAGTTTTCCACGGAGCTCAATTCTTCTGGGTTTCCAAATGGTGGAAGTTGTATTTGAAAAACCGAGTAGTGGTTGTGCTGAGAAATGTACTTGTAGCTGGTAGCTTCCTGTCTCTACAAGCAGCAGTAGTGTTTTCAGAGGAAAATGATTCCCCAGAACTGTTTTTCTTAGGCTTGTTTCGAAGCATGTAGATGCCTGTCGACAGACTCCGCTAACTCGTGAACACTTACATCACACTGGCAATCACGACCTTTCAATAAGTGGATTTTCCAGTGTGTATCTTATTCAATTGTGAGGCTTTTTATTGAATGACACCCATGAATTCTGATATGGCATAAAAGTGATAGAGATACATTTATTTTGAGACATCAGCTCAGCTGAAAATATTTTGGGCGACCCGCCACTTCAAAATTTGTTACGAACTCATCTCAAATATCTTACCATTATTCCCTACGGTGTTCTCGTTTCATGCTCGCACAAGTATAGTATGCGCTAACCTGCATCCAACAGTCCGGTTGGTTGAGAGCAATCTGTTCGTTGATTGGTCGCACCGCTGTGGAGGCTTGCTCTGAGCGTTGTGTCTGTCACTTTTCAGACCTAATGGGACTCAAAACGCACAGTGACTAATGGATGTGCGGTGGTCATTACAGCATAGTGTATAAATTACCTCTGCATTGACGGCACGAGCGACAGAACGGGATGGAGCATGAAGGTGCGACAGACGGTGTTATCTGCTCTCGGAATAAAGGCGACCAACCAGCGCCAAGCTTATCCAGTTCGGGAGACGATGCTTCCCCAAGGCAGACGAAATACGAATCAGAACCGCAGTATTTATCGAAAGAAGACCTTGAGGCACTAGACCAGGACGAGCCAAAGTGGCGCCGATTTAGAATTGCTCTACTAATAGTCTTTGGCGTAGTATGGCTTGCGCTGGTCATTGCGGTCATATTGATAGTAGTTTTGTCCACGAAGTGTCCGCCCCGTCCTGAGTTAGCATTTTGGCAATCTGGTGTTGCCTATTATGTTGACCTATTTGCCTTCAAGGATTCTGGAGGAGATGGTGTTGGAGACATTGGAGGTAAGTTCCTTACGACCGGTAACTTATCCACTCTTTAGGTCTTCTGGAAGCTATACCGTATATCAAAGAAACCGTTGGTGCAAAGTTTATCATTCTAGCGCCCATCGGTTTGGGTTACTTCACTAATAGCAAGTCTTTGCTGGGGCTTGTGAATGATCATACACAAATTGACCCAGCGCTTGGAACAGTATCTGATTTTCGACAGCTTCTTAAGAGGCTGCACAAAACTGGAATGCATTTGGTCATCTCCTTGGATTTCAATGGCATTGCTGATAACCACGTCTGGATGAAAGATGTTTCTTTCCTGAAACTCTTCGACAGCCAGAAAGGATGGGTAAGTGTCACGTAGCGGATGAAAATTGGCATATTCAAAGTCTTCCAGATACGACGTGCAGCCAAGCATAACAAATAATCGCCAAGAATATTATTCAGTGGACAATAAACTTATTGACCTTGACCTAACTAACGAAGCTGTTGTGCAAGAAATTTTAGTGAGTAGCTTTTAGCTGCCTTCTAAATATCAATGTTTCAGCGGGTGGTCCAGTACTGGTTGGATGAAGATGTTGATGGGATATTGTTGAAAAACTGTGCTTTCTACGTAGAGAACGACGAACCTAGTAGGACATCAGTAAGTCTACAGCAATATCATATTATTTTACTGTGTATTCATAGCAGTCGTCTGGAAAATGGTCTACAAATTATCCAGCTCAACAAGTGTTTCAAGATCAAAGCGTGGACGTCGTTAGACGAGTCAGAAAGCATATTGACGACTTTAGCGCAGCGCGCGGAAAGAAGTAGTAAGTAAATCGAATTCAGTCATCCACCATCCATTAACGTTACCTAGCGTTCTGATCGCAGACCCAGGCGACACGGGTTACGGACTTCCACTGAAGAAAGCTCCAGGCCTAATGTTTCTAGGTTCAGCAAGCGAACCCGCTGCACACCTAGTAATGCATCCGGAATTCACTGAGAAACGTGGATGGTATGGACTAATTTTAAAAGTATATGTATTTCGTTGTAGGAAGTTTCCCTCGAGTTCACCTACAACTGAGTTTTCTGTGAGTGCATATAATGGAAGTGCGGGGACTGATAAAGAGTCGTTGGCATTGTTTACTGCTTCTGATGTGTACCGAAGACATTCAGCGCTGTTACCCACAGTAGCCTCGATCCTATTTCCTGGTAAGTTGCTTCTGATCTATATTTACTCAAAAAGACCTCGAGGAGGCTTAGTAATGAAGGCCCGAACTTACTGGCCGAAAGGTCCGTGGTTCGAAACTAACCTCAGCATCAGGCCCGATTCTCTCTGGGCTTGGGCAATCTGGCAGTGGTTCAACCCTTGTGCTGCCTTCGGGCAGCATTTTAGCTAAACACCGAAAGGTTATTGAAACCAAGTAACTATTATTTTATCTTTTGCTCATTTAAAAAATACTCACTGTTCTCATTCGCCAAAACAGCAGAACTTCAAAGCTCTGGCAAACGTTTTCTAATAATACGTTGAAACGACTTTGCGATACACTTCAGCCCCAAACATGCCCGTCGTTTTTTTTTTTACTAAAGGTACACCGGTGATCTACTACGGTTCGGAACTGGGTGTGGAATGGTATAAATCAAACGACCCACCGAAAAATCTCTACCCTGCTGGGAAACTACCTACCGTGTACGATGATGGCATATCAAACGTGCTTAGTTGTCATTTGCCGATGCCTTGGGATCGAGCTGGCAAAGATTTTTCGGCTAACAGTAATGTTTCGCAGTATTTCGGTCCGTACCTTGATCAATTTCAGATAAGTGATACGGTTGAGGTAAGTCTCAGTTCTGCTTAGGCAGGACCCGATCTTGATTATTTGCCCGGAAGGTTACTTCCTTTATTTAGGTGGCTTAAGGTGTCAAACAAATTTTTTATGACAGGCAAGGCCTCACGAAGATTTAGTTCGTCTTACTGTTAACTGTACCGATATGTGTGAATCCATGATTGAACCACTTTAGCGCGGGCAAAGTTCTCACATGCATTGACCGAGTTCAGTAAAACCTACTCAAAGTTGAACGCTGTCGCATTTAAAAGAATGCAAACTTATTGAACCCATGTACCTGAATCCTCATAGATGTCGTTCCCCAGTATGTGCACCTCGATCCACCAAAGTTCACCAAAATTTACTCAAGAAGAAACTTCAGTTCCGGCATATGACGGCAATTCAGAACCTCTGACACATCTTGGGGCTACTTAAAATGATGGGCTATGTGGAAGTTTCCTAGATGTACGGGCATCTATGGTGACCGTTTTGGAGGAGAAGGAGAACAGTTTCTAGGACACGATTACAAAGAAACTCGCTTCTGATTTCGGTGAACACATGCGTTTCTAAAATGGCATAAAAAATTCAGGGATAACGTTTCACGCAGAATAGCAGCACTACAATTTTAGTTAAAACAGAGAAGAGTCCACGAAAGCGTGCGAATTTTACACAGATGTACTACAGTTACATGAATCCTTGTCTGCCATGAAAGGCGTTGTTCCTGCATGTGTTTCACATTTGAATGGCACTCATGCGATTAACGAATCCTGAGCAACACGGAAAGGATTATAAGACGTGGGTTCGTGTACTTGGACGAAACATAAGGAAGGCTTGGTAACAGAAAAGCCTACTCCGTTCAAACGTAAAGATAGAAAAAAATTAGAAAATGGTTTATGCTCGGTCAACCTCATTAAAAGTTGTCTCAGAAAGAAGCAAACTTTGGTTGAGTTTTATTGCTATTCATTTTTTTCATGGAGTTTACCCAAAGAAACTCACTTTGGGATTCTGTCCCAGTTTTATATCAATCAGTTTCCTATTTCCTTAAATATTACCCATTGATACAGCCCTCTCGTAAAGATCACCGCTGGATTAAAGCTACCTGTTGGTGCAGCGTATTTTAAATAGTATATATGAATACGCAAACCGTCATTCCTCACTTTTGAGAGACAAATGGACAAGTAATAGTATAACCGGCAGTTAATACGGTTGGATTTATAATTTTATTATCGTGTAAGCAGCGTGAATGGAAAGAGCTTTGCTGCTCTCTGAATACTGTTTTGCCCTACCCATTGGCTTCAGTAATAGACTTTCCTTCACTTACCAAGAGTGCACACATATTTCCCACACAGTTCCGTTAGTTCCTAGTCACATCAATATTATCAAGATAAGATAATCGTTTTCCTTTTTCTATCGAATATTATTCGACCTGACGACTTCTTGTTTAGTTAATGGATTGAGGGTATAGTGTTAATGCTGACGCTGTTGTTGTTGTAATGAGAATCAAATATTAGTCCTTGATTTTGATTCAACAGACTTTCAAAATAAATTTCGAGATCTAATCGGTGGTCACAATTAGTTAGTACACAAAATTTGAAAGCATGAGTAAAATCTCGACTCTTTTCGGATTGTGATTTATAAATCTGATCCACGTCAGTTAATCAGTCCATCCTGAAGCCTCATTTCAGCTTACCTACTAGACAAAGGCATTGTGATTCATCCCTCCACTATACGAAAGGTAATTTTTTCAAGGTAATTCAAGGTTTAATGGTCTAAAAAGCAGTTAACTTTACAGCGACCATAGGGTGAACGTATATATACAAAGGGACACAAAAATATACGTAATGTTTGCTGAGTATCACATGGAGTTAAACAGTTCCAGATTCGGTTTGGACATAAGATATGCATCTAAATTGTTCTTGAAAATGGTTAAAATCGGCGAATGTACAACATTGGGAGGTAGGGAGTTCCAAATGAAACATACTCGGACCGCAAAAAAGTTCCGTCGACAGTTCACCCTCGAGTGAGGTACCGCGAGCGAAAAGTCACGCCTCCTGCCCGTTCGTGGTGGACGTCGGACCAATAGATTTTTCAGCGTATGATTAGGTGTCTTCAGTATATTATATGTTAGAATTAGGTCTCGCCTGATGCGCCGATAGTAGAAGTCAAATAGGTTGAGACTGGCAATCCTGTCTTCGTATGGTTTATTTTGCAGTCCAATTACCAGCTTCGTGGCTCGATGATATATTCGCTGTCGAAGAATTATGTCTTTTTGAAGTCATGGTGACCAAGCTTGTATAGCGTACTCCATGGTTGGTCGGATGTAGGTATTGATTACTCGGGGCAGTGCCAGTCGAGTGAAACGACCAAAAATCCGTTTTAGGAGCGACAGGACTTGTGAGGTCCTCTTGTAGACGGCTGTGCATTGCAAGGAGTTTTTTAAACAGCTGCTGACCCACACGCCAAGATCTTTTTCTTCACTAGTCCAAGAAAGTGGTTGTGGACCCAACGTATAGTTATATGCAAAGGGCTTCCATACATGGAGCATTTTACATTTTTGGAGGTTAAACGGTAGTCTGTTTTTCAGTGACCAATCATAAAGTGTATCGAGATCTTTTTGTAATCGGTGACTGTCTTCAACGGTGCGTACGCTTGACCATATCTTGATATCGTCCGCGAATAAAGTGATTTTACTGCTCACGAGCTCAGGTATATCGTTTACGTATAATAAAAATAAAGTAGGCCCAAGAACGGAGCCTTGGGGTACTCCACTTGTAGCTGCAATTGGCTTGGACAGAGCGCTTTCAACACATACACGCGCGTCTTGGTCAGCCAAATAGTTTTCAAGCCAAGCCAGCAGCTTTCCCGTAATACCATAATGTTCGAGTTTTTGCAACAACATAACTCATGTTATGGAGATCATTTTCGGCATGGCGTATTGGTGTTTGGTAGAGGAAATCAATCGCTGAAACAAACCACCAGGAAAATCAAACTCTTCTGTCATAAAGACATTAGCACTTTCCTCGGGGTGGCCATTATAGGAGAGTCTGTTGTTTGTAGCGCGACAAGCACACCCGGACCTTCATGGGACTCATTTCAGTCTGACCTTACAAAAACACTTTTATTCTATTGCATGATGTAGAATGCTGTCGTTTCATCAATTATGACTAGCTGTTTCCTGTTCTCGAATTTCGCAGTCACTAAATGCCGACGGCCGAGGTCGAACTCTTTGGACATTGATACAAAAACTGGTTCATCTGCGTTCGGAAATCGAGTCACTGAAATGGGGATCGTTCATTTTGCATGAGAAGGATACAGAAGTAAGTATGAAAGGCAGGGTCATATAAACGCTGTCTAATGCCTCCCAATATTTCATTATGAGATAACTTTGTTGGCTGTTTTACTGCTTGGGATAGGCTGTCGACAGCTTTCCTGACGATGTGTTCTTGTTGATCAACAGTGTCACTCCACTGAATACTTAGGGATAAATCTTTTGGTCAGTGTATTTTTTAGAAGATTAGGGTTTTCTTTCTGGACTCAGAGGTTTTCAGTCAGTGAACGACAAGTCAGCGAAAGCTTAGCAGACAGTAAGTCACCTGGCTACGTACTAGTGTCTTCTCAATTTGTGACGAAGAATGTGCAGACCAGTTTCCAAGATCGGTGAACGGATCAATGACCACCTGACCCACAGCCGATAAAGGCTTCTTAGCTATTCTGACGACTCGATAAATGAGACCACTAATCTAACAATCGACTGGTCTCTCAGTCAGTACAGGAAGACGTACTTTTAGTTTCCTCTGGAATCCCCACATCCGAAATTCTCAAGTATAATTTTCTATAAGGATACGGACGTAAAGGTCTGTTCATGCATATTCTGGACTCAGAGCGTTGCCTTATCTCCTTAATAACCACTAAGCAAGACTACACAAGCGAGGACAATAAAGCATCCACTGATTTTAGAATTTTTTGACAATTATCCCATCATTTTGTCGGAATTCAGGGTACGAACAGACCAATATTCACTAGCACAGACGTGTACCCTAGGCAGTCTCAAATTGCGTGTTCCTCAAAATAATGGAGGTAGTTCAGAATCCCCTGATCAAACTTAAGCCAACAGCATACTGCATTACACTTTACATTACACATTACACTTCGGTGCATATCTCCAGAATAGAGGTGTGACTAAAAAAATAGTCTGAGTCCCGTGACTGCGTTCACGGAATCAAATAAGCAAACAGAATCCCCAGTTCTACTCATATTATTTGGAAAAACACATGACCCTAAGCATCATCAAAAGCGCTGATTAATTTTCTTTTAACAAAAGATATTCTTTTCATTTCAGGCACATACCAACAGGATTGAAATTGTACAACGAAAAGCAGAAGGATTTCAGCCAGTCTTTGGAGTATTTTACAATCCCGCGTTGGACCCAACTGAAACTAGGACAGGCATAGTGATCGATTTTTCCTGGGTGTGTGAAAAAGTATGGCTTCACATAGCGTACCCAAACGATGAGCTAGAGGAGGATAAGCAACTTGAGTCGCTGAGCGCGTACATCAAACTGGGAAATGAACCAGCATTCTACTTGTTTCAGTGTAAATGAACTATTTCTATCCGCAGTTGTTTGTCTGAATTTTCAGTTATGTATCCATACTTCTTTCCCGTGAAATAGATGAAAAACCTGAAGCTGGTTTCCGTGTCTACTAATGTTACTGTTGTTTTCGATTGTTGCCGTTACGGTTGCTTATCACTTCGTTTTATCCTAACGATGTAAACCAATGACTTTGGGGAATGAGATCCAAATATCTGTGGAACCCTCGCTCTCTTGGAAACCTCCCCCCGTGGAAAAATGCCAAGTGTTTCTCAAAGGGGAATCTGTGAACTTTCGCACTTATAGATGACCGGCCTTTTGGAAGTTTGCGTTTACGCGGAACAACAATGCTTTATATTTCAAGTTGCTACCAGCCGAAAGCCACGAACTATGACGCATAACGTCTACACATAACGATCTGTGGTGAACTCTTTCGGAGGTTTTATGAGGATGATGGCATTGCTCTTCCTTGAAGGAGCACCACCCATAAGGTTTATGAACTCGCAAACAGCAAACAAAGCAGCTACTTTTTCAAGCAGCTAAGCTGTCGAGACAGCTTCGTCTACTTGATAGGTCATTCGGTCAGTAGATCAGTAATGTCGAACTTGCGATTTACGTCCTGGCAGCACCAGCGGTTTAGTTTTCTGTGTTGTGTTGTTGAGTGGTGATTTTACGCTGTGGAATACAAGCCTATATGTGCGAAATGCTGGATCGCTTGGTTGCATGCATGTATTGGGTAGAGGGCCGAAAGAAGAATTCCTTTCGCTACAAATTCAAACTTTTGGGCAGTCCTCAAAACGTCGTTTGGATTAATCTGTCACCTGATGTATTCTGCCCACGGTAACAAGTTTATAAGGTTGTTGAATACAGCTGAAATGAATGTTAACTTTTTTGCGTTCTCCTGAGAAACCTCTGGGTATCTGTGTAGAAAGCGCATTGGGAGGTAGACGTTGAGTTGCTAGCCTGTTGGACTGTGAGTCTTGAGTGGCGTTTGTGAAATTTATTGACCAGTATTTTTTCTTAAGCTTATCCTGAATCCGTAGATGCTTGATGTTGCATGTATTCAATCCTCATGCTGTTCCACGATTTCAATAAACTTGTTAACGACAAAAGTTAGAGACCCTAAAAGATGATTTAACCACTTCAAGTGGAACGTTTTCAAGATAGAACACAACACAGTACTTTCTAAGCTGGAATACCTGTTTACCAGAAGTTACGTAACTTATAACTTCAGATTTTAGTTCCGGACTGAAAGCAAACCTGATATATATTGAGAACCAACCAGACGGGTGCGACTTGCGAGGTTTGCACTGCTGACAAACCTCAATAAGTATGATATAACCTAAGTTTTTAGGATGAAATCAAGTTTTACGACTGGCTTGTAACCACAGACCAGTCAGCAGCAAACCAATCAGGTCAGTTCGTTCAAATGCACTATTATCAACAGTCAAACGTTTTAAGAGACCAATATCACGACTTAAAGTTTTGGGAGGCCTTTCAGTAGACTCCTCATGGTAATAGGACAACTTACGTAAATATTTTTCTCCACAGTTGGAAAAAACGTCTTAACTGATGTGTTCAAAATATATCCTTTAAATACGCCATACGAACTGAACGCGCCGATGATAGTCTATTCTACTGTGACTGTTCTTCACAAGATACGGAGTCGTAGGTGATGCAATCAATATGAAACGACCAGCAACGCGTGGACATGTTGACCTGCACCGACTCGTACTAGTAAGATGTAATAAAAAGTACTGACAAATTCAATAGTCTAAAGCGTTGCACCCTGATTAATTGGTCCTTCACCTAATTATTCAGGGTGGCACAATAAGGCATCACCCATGGCTTATAATCTGTGTGAAAAGCAGCTAGAAGAAAGCACTGATTTAGCAGTCTCATTAGTAGGAGAAAGTTCTACGATTATATCGATCCAATTTGAAAGCATGCTATTTTGCTCTGCCTTCAAGCCAACTGAATTATACCAGAAAACAGGACCTGCATTCCGATAAGGTTTATCTTGGACACGATGTAGGTTTTACAATAAACTGAAAGAAAGGACTTGCGCGGCAAATCATCCGATCACCACCGTGTATAATGCTCTATAATACAGCATCAGAAATGCATTGGAAATTCACTACTAGCTTGGAATTTTACGGTGTATCTATCGCGAGGAAACCTGTTGTGTACAATCAGAAGACTGAATCGTGTGCGTATTACGAGGAACGACAGCCCGCATTTCATCAACATTGCAAGCTGCTTCGATAATGATTCAATTCGTGCACATTCTCAAGAATTCACGAGTGAATGCGGTTGATTGCGAAATGAGGGCATCAAAAATGAGAAGATAGATTATCTGAGTTAGCAGTTCGTGGGTAGAAGGACCTTGGCCAACAAATGGGTGGGCTGTATATGTCCTAACACAACATTTTGCCGAGGTCGCCATTCATGTTAAAATCAACCTCTTCATTAACTGGGAAAGAAACGCCTCTCCGGTTTGAACACTAAATGCATCGCTTCTCTCAGGTATGCCACTGCGATTAATGAACATGCATTCTACCATGCCAGAAACTTTGGCTTGCATACTATGTGCTTCAAGGTGTCACACGTATCAGTGATTCTTTGTATGCTTTTTTGGAAGCCCATTCCGATCACTGAAGGAATTCGTACACGAAAAAATCGTCGTTGGGAGTTCATGGCCTCGTTAATCTTTTTCGCGTTGTTTCCTCCGTCAAGCTGTTCGTTTCCCTCCACAAGTTCTTGAACGTACCTGGCCGTTACGGGCTGCATACCAGCAGAAGCTGTACTACAGTCTCGTGTATATAGTTGGCCCACTGAATCATCTGCCCGTAGTGCCACCTGGGTAGCCCGGACGACAGTCTGGATAGACAACTCCAGAGAAAGCTAACCACACTGTTTGGATTCAGTGTGCTGGTTACTTTTGACAGTGTGCAATACGAATCACCTGGCGCCTCCGCACCAGTTCTAACCAGTCCACAGGGGAGGCTCGTGGAGCTCATTTGTGAGGAATGTGGCGAGTGTTGCAATCGAAAGCTGGCTTAGTATCCCATTGTCGAGTTCACGTCCATGAAGATGTTGCAACGAACGCGGTGGCCCAGTTGGCCTGAGTCAACATCGTCGACACGCACACCTCAGCCTTAGCTTGGTCGAGTGAAAAATTCCGGTGACCGCTGGTCCCAACAAGGGTCACAATTATTCGTGCGACTGACCAATAATTTATATCCATCTTGTGACACGAAAAACGCATTGTTCACGAGATGGAAGCAGTATTTTCCTGATCGACCGACTACCCGTATCAAAACAAAATGTACGGGTGCTTAACTGGCAACTACAACATGACGAATCATTAGCTGGTCGCCCTGACTAAGCCATCGGTCAACCTATGGCACAGTCATCAGAAGCTGAGGACTATAGCGTCTGGTTTAAACAAACCATTTATTACGCTGTGTCACTCTTGGAATCCCATGCTGACAGTTCGTTAGCTAGTTTTGACCTTCTGACATTTCAGTTTGTAGTTTGGAATGATGAGGCCAGAGAAGGTCCTATCGCCTCTGGACCTCCATGCCTCCAAGTCATTTCCATACATGAGGAATCCTCTCTCGCGACGTCCTTGTCAGCTAGCCCATCGGGTGCCGGTCAACCGAAAGCAGATCCGCACAGCCAACTACGCCACCGTCCAGACCACCAAAAACGAAAAGATGTAGCGTCTTCTATGCTCGAGAGGTCGCGGAAGGATCTATGCAAAGTTAACTGTGGCCTACCTCTGGACGCTGAGCAGTGTTGTAAACAGGTGCTCTCCGAAGCTCCCAAATCTGACTTCACCGGACCGACGGAGACCGACATCCATGTCCACCACCTTTGTCCGATGCTTTCATAAGGTAATTATTGATTGCTGGAGCCTTAGATTGACACTTCTCACACTCCAGTTTGTATTTTTACATTGAGACGGTTCTCTGAAACCTGTTACATGCTCTGCTTCATTCATCTTCAGCGACAGCTTCGAATCTCATGTTGGCTTTTGTTGATATATCGAAAGCGCTTCAGCCGGTTTCGCATGACACAACTGTCAGATCTGACGAGGCGTTCGGTGAACCGCCGATTCTAATTCGACATATCCCGTAGTCCTATGAGAATCCTGTAAAGGTTATCCCAGTTCTGAGGTTCACTACAACAGAGAGTGAGGAGGGTCCATTGTTGTTCATCGTGGCAGTGGATGATGCCGCAAATAGGGTACCAGTTCCATGACATCTTAGTGGGTGGTTCTGCCTTCGCTGACGACTGGGTCGGGTGTGCAGAAAGTCATGCTTGCCTTAAAGAAATTCTTGAAGCTGCTTCAATCGAGTTGGAAGGGATGATATGAAGATCAACGCCCAGAGGACGAAAGCAATGATGATTTGTGGGCACAAGAAATATCGAGCAACAGCAGTATCAGTCAAACCATTGCGCTTCGCCGAGGAACTCATTACTTCGCTGGGTACGACAGACACCATGCTATAGTTGAGCGCCCCCTTCACTTTCACGGAAAAGGAAGTCTTCAACAACCGACGGCAGCTGCTCAAACTGCTCGATGAGTTGATGCGTGCCCCGTTGGGGCCGCATCAAAGAATGGATATCACGAGGAACTACCTGATACCAAGGCTGACATTTTCGCTTGTGCTCGGTCAAGTCTATCGAAACAGGCTCACAAGCTTGGACACTTACATTAGGCAATCTGTTTGTGGCTGGCTACGCCTACCGAAGCACACCCCGATCAGTTACGTCCACACCGGTAAGCAACATGGAGGACTTGCTACCCCAAGTCTGAGTGCAACCATCCCGATGCAGCAGAGAGTACGTATACAAAAGCTTCTGTCTACCCAGTGTCGAGTACTACGCAATGTAGGCAAGTATTCCGTATTTGACAAGATTGTTCGGGATCTCAGATTTCCCATCCGAGTCCATAGTGCATGCGTAAACACCAAGTAAGAGCTGGTGGCTGCTTTCGGCGACTG